AAAGCAGTAAAATTCGAGAAAAGTCAGTAAAATTTTTAACCACACAATATATTTAACAGGTTACGCAAGAGATCGTGATACGTAAAAATAATTTTTAAATATATTCATAGAATATCAAAAAATGCAAATTGCGCGATTTTGCTCCGAGCGCGTATTTACAATTAAACGAATATATTGGACACGAATAGAAATCCGCTTCGAACAGTTTAACCCAGTTCCATTTGACGACATGGTAGTCCATAAAAAGGAATCCCGGTAACTGAAAGTGACTTGCCGAATGACATTTCAGACAATCACAGTTGATGATTTTGAATTACGTGTACTTATTAACATCGTCCCTGTATATTTGTCACCTGTCTTTTTTACTGTTTAATTTATAATTTTCGAGGCGTTTTCTTGTGTATTTTACAATTTTATTCTAATTTTAGTGACTTTAAGTATCAGTTTCTAAATTAGATTCTCTTTGTGCGTTTTTTACACCGTGTAATACCTACTAAGCTTGTCGCCTATACGTAATTTTCACAATCTAAGTAACCGACCGATTTAATTTTACGTACGCAGCCATGAAAGTTACTGGGATCAGCAGGATGACATAGACCGAGACGAATTTCTAGAGATATTGTCTCGTTTAAGTCGCACCGTCATGAACCGCCCCGAAATGGAAAAGTAAGATAACGTATTATAACATGATCTTAATGATAAAATAATTTATTTTATACGCCTATAGCATGAAATTATTTAAAAAATTTTTTAAGTTTTGAATTTTTTATATCTATACACACACACACATATATGTTGTATTTGTTATTTTTATTAATGATTTTTGGGATACTAATTTGCAAATAATTATTTAAAAAATATTCAACAATGACAGCTTCAAATTAAATTTTGATAGAGAAATTATTTTAAAAACTTTAATTAAATTTTATCATTAAATGCTTCAAACCAATTTTATATTATATTTAAAATATTATTTTTTGCTAATATTTTTTGTATCGCCATAGTCACAACGGCTTTTACGTTCCATTTTACATTAATCCCATCAATTTAATAAAGCATTCATTTTGGAAAGAAGTTTATTTCAAAAATGTAAATAATGTATTTCCATTGTATATACAAATCTTTTTATCTCAAAATGTATTTGTATATAGAAGAAATTTTTCATCACTGATATAAGAGAAATAACAGAGGATCAAGTGACATTTATATTAATTTTACCGCACGCCTTTTATTTTTCTCAAGAAGCGTAAAAATATTAAATATGTCGAAGCAATGTCCAAGGTGATCGATTTAAATAAATTCAAAAACGTAATAAATATCAAATTATTCGTTCGCAGCAGCAAACGAGGATTGGATCTGGGTCTCAGCCGTGGCTTCAGCGGTTCTCAAGCGGCGAAACATTTGATGGGACTCGCGGCGGCGAACTACGCCGGTGGTCCTGGACGAAGGCGTCGCTCGGAACAGGCGTAGATCGCTCATACTTTCGCTGATGCAGAGAGATTATTATCCGTAACAACTATCCGTAATAATGTCACTTTCGATTCGACTCTTCCACTATGTCTCTATCTCGAGCTTGAACCGCCGCCGATCTCGAAATCGCCGTTGCCAGTGGCGTGACTGAATGAGCATGCACTTAAATCCTCTCTATTAATTACTCCTGCTCTTTTCCTAAATAAATCTTAATAGAATGTGCACAAATGCGTCCATCTCTTCAGAGCGTAAATAGTATAAGTTCGTTATGAGTAAAAGGTTACAATAATAGTGAATTAACGATTGATGTTGGCAAATTTTTTCGATTTTTCATCTCTCTTTAACCCTTGCATCTATAACTTTGTACACTCCTACATCTTACTGCACCACTGGCCATTCCTATCTGCTACATTGTTAAAGTGAACTTTCAATTGCATTACAAATTATTTTCTGTTTTAAATTTTTTTAGGAGCGAATATGCGATAATTGCCTGGCGAGGATGCTTTCATCTAAAATTAACAGAAATAAAAGAGCATTTCTTTCTCTTTTTATATATGTATATGTATATACATTTTTTAAATTATATAATGGACATTGGTACACCGAGAAGATTATTTATTATAAATGCAGAACATGAATCTAGAATAAAATATACGTGGAAATATTAATAAAGGTGATTTTGAAATACTTTTATATAAACTAATTTAAATCAATTCAAAATTATTTATTCGCACATGGGTTTATGCAATTAATATTAAAATTTTATGATAATTTTATGAATTAATGTAAAGATTAGATAGTTTGTACAATTAAAAATTTATTTTTCTTTTATTAGCGAGCAAAAACTCAAATGTATTTTGCAAGCATCCTCACCATCTCCTATCATTTTTGCATTTTTCTTTTTTTTCTATATTTATTTATTATGCGTGAGTCGTATACGGATTAGCCATCTTCTCCGTGACGTAAGATAAATGAAGTGGATAGACGTAGTATTTTGCTGATCCAACAGCAAGGCTCCTTCGAGTCGCGCGTTCGCGAATCGATGACGCTCCACTTCCGGCTGGATTTATCCTAGTCATTACTATCTGCAATTGAAATCGTATACTGCGACGAGTTCGTCCTACGTTTCCTCGAACAAACTGCACGAGAGAGTTTTTCTCTTAATCCTTCACGCGCGCGGAATAATTTTTCTCCCGCGCTTCGAACGCTTCGTTATACTTTCATACCATATTGTATGATCGCTTAAATCTTTTCGACCTTTCGCTCTTTTTTCTTTTCTAATATCTCTAGCGTCTCTTGTAAAAAAGAATTGTTGTACTTAAACTATGATAATCGTAATCGATGTTGCGTTTGTTAGACCGGGCGTTCTCAAATTTTGTTTGCGCCGACGAAACGTCAAGTAAATACGCGTGGTGCGCGAATTCCTCGCCGATAAAACGTCGATTTCAGAATTTATGATCAGAGTTGTGTAAAGAACGTAAAGAATCGTGTGGTGAACTTTGAACATGATCGTATTTTTTATTTTATATGATTTTTACGATTCTCACGACGTGTCGCGTGGAACAATTTGAGAACCCTATTACTTAGGTCACTTTGTTTTACTAGTCCAACGTCTATCTATGATCTACGCCTGTGTAATATGCAATGTGCATTGGATGCACATTCACTGCGCTCGCATAAAACGAAATCGTATAAAAATATAATATAGAGATAGTAAAACCTCGTCCTTTTTCGTGTTATAGACTATCTTAGATTTAGTCCGTACATCAGGAGTGCACAAAAAATGTTCAATTTATCCAAAAATTTAAAAAAATATATAATGGAGTAAAAATGTTTGACGACGAAATGTTTGTTTTTAATATTCTAACGTATTATATTCGTGCATTATATTACAAAAAATATATAACAGAAATATATTAATAGAAAATAAAAGTAAAATGTTATTTATATTTTTGCAATTTAATCCAATTAACTATCTGAAAAAATAATGATTCTAAATTGAATTGCGGCGCAAATATTTTTTAATTATTCGTCAATAGATAACAGATTTTGCAATCGCAATTATTAGAAACGGTTTATATACTAGATCTAATAAAATACATATGTGGTAGAGCAAAGTTTGCGCAATTCGATTAATCTTAATTTAAATTGTCTCCTACTTTGACATTTGGGTTGTGCACTCCTGTCAACAGGTGGTAACCAAAGCGCACACAGTAACTGTCGATACGATTCTGTTTATCATGCTCGATGATAACACGCGATATAATTGAAAGACTTGGAGCAACGACTCGTTAATTTAATCATACATCATATGACATTTTTATCTCATATTTCTTTGCAGAATTGACAATGGATAGAAATGTTTATCTCAAAAATAAAACACTATAGATGCGATATGTTCGATATAGATATTAGTTACACCAAAGTTTAGCTGAATTATTTTTTATTCAATATTAATATACGTTATTATATATTCTGTAAAATAATATTAACTAACAAATTATTTAATAGTTAGAAGCGAATTGTAATGTTATTATAAATGGTATTTCTGTCATTTGGCATCATACGACTTAAAATCCTGTTGCTCCAAATTCTTAACAATCATATGCTCGATCAATGTACGCGAAAAAATTTCGTTTCATAGATAAATTAGTATTCTAGAAATAAATGTATGTCCGGGGACGAAGCGATTCGTTCCCTTAATCGCGAAATCCCATTTGGTTATCACCGGCAGCGAAACGAAGCGCGTGAAGTCGACCTGCGTCATTTCTGTGTATTATAAAGAGATTTATTGAGCCTCTAGTAACAACTGATCGTAAATAAAAGTTACCTACTTTAACCCAGCTATACGCGAACATTATTTATTTCGATGACACACTCATATTCTCTTCGCATATTTAATGACTAAATACGACCCACGCTCTACTTATCACTGAATTTATTTAGGATAAGGGAAACGAGTAATTTCCAGTTATCTTTAATAAATTTCTGACTCGGCAATATTTCAACGTAGTCAATGTCAAGAACCGATAATCAAATCAGTCTTATCAATAATTTATTCAAAACTATTAATTGAAAATATTTACAGTAACTTTAACGAAATGAAAAGAACATTAAAAACGTTAAAAGAATGGCATATACTCTATTAAAAATAATATATATAATAAAATTCATATATTATTATAAATTTACATATCTATAAATAATATTCACTGTATTTATAAAAAATAACATTTTGCACATTTTAGCATATTCAAACAATTATTTCATATGCAATCATCTGTATGTTATTTGTAAAGCTATCCAACAGTATTAAATTTATCAATCATCATGGAAAATTAAAGTCATTAAAGCCATTAATATCACTTGATCCAGCTGCCAGGCTGAAGCTGTCATACAGTTTCGAACAAGTTTCACTTTGTGAAAAAAGAAGACTAATTTATCGCTTATAATTGACACTCATATAGACAGATGTTTATATCGTAGTATTTACGTAAGTGCGATACACGCGACAGACAAACACTTGCACATCCGATAGCCGTTCGCACATCCATAGTCGATCTTTCAGTTGTGCGCAGTGTGCGTGCTGCGAAGAAGCCACGCATTTCTCATCCGCACGCTTTTCAATCAATTCGTGATAATAGAGTATAGTGTCGACAAAACGTGATCGCGATCTTGACCAACTGCCGTACATTTTGGATTGCGAATCACGAAGCGTGCCACGATCCATACGATTCTACATGACGCACGTCACGCATCTCGCATCTCTTTCCGTTCTATGCGATTCATGAAGAATACGATACCGACGAGCTCGACGTGCTCGAAACAGCCGCAGTGCCGTATCTACTTGGTGGATTTAATACAAACGAGATTCTATATCATAAATAAGCAGAGGTAAATTCCTATCACAAAATTCTTCAAAAGAAAAATCTTTTTATTATACGATATATTAAATATATATATATTTTTTATACGATAATCACGACGCACTCATATATCTGTTATCTATTTTATTGAGACATAATGGCGAGTTCTTTGTTCTTTAATTCATCAATTGATCAATCACGCACGATGCGTAAATGCAGCAAAGTGCCGCATTTGTGCAGCATGATGCAATTGATCAATCGATGAATTAAAGAACTCACCGTAAGAGAGAGTCTTTAACTTTTCATAGAGATATATATAGTGTAAACATAAACCGATGTTAATCAAGTATCAATTATTTAGGAAATCAAGTAAATTAACCGCTATAATTTTTGAGAAAATATAAAGAAAGTAACTTATTTTATAGCTTCATATTTCTGACTTTAATTTAAAAATTCCGAATTGAATTTTTCTAATATGATATTACTCTTCTTTGATATGATATTATTAAAAGAAACCTTTTAATAAAATTTGTAATAAAGACTTAATTTAATTTTTAATTTAAAAATTAATTATCCTTTAATTTACATTTACTTTCATCAAAAATTAATGATATCATATTTAACAGTTAAAAAAATTAGTTTTCTAATTTATTGCTATTGTTCAAACAATATAGATTTTATTTTGCTAGGATAAAAATATATATGTTAATGAGAAGTGATATTAAATCGACAAAGTGCATGCAATTGAACTTTACACGAAGCATGTATTTTCCACGTATGTATTAAACTTATTATATAAAAGAAACCCTTACATCCGATCGTAACAATGACGATCGAATTGCTCGACTCATTATACTAGTCACTAACGAGCGCTCATTTACGATCTAGCCTCTGATCGAAGAAGTTACAGGATTGCCACGGGAAAACGTATAATTGGTTCAAATGGATCGAGTGAGAAGACGAACCTCGATGGGTAATTGTATCAGAAAGCGTAGCGTTTGCGTGAGTGTGGTTGTACTCGGAACCTTCATTGGTTGCACACTATTAGCGTACACGGCGTTTGCATTTCCGACTACTAAACATGACACGTTACAGCAAGTGGCTTTTGTAAGTAACTTGTTTATAACAATTATCTGTCACCTCATTATCTCGTTCTCGCGATTAATTTTGTTAATTTAATTTTATATTATTAAATTTAAACAAATTAATTTGATAGAGATATTTAATATTAATTATGTTATTTAAATATCATAAATATGTGATGATTTAATGATAATACAATAATTTAGTAATAGATATTATTTAATATACATATATATATATATATATATATACTAAATATATTAGTATCTATATATATTTAATAGAATATATATAGATATATGTATATGTATAATTTTATATATAATTATATATAAAATAAAATTATATGTAAATATATATATATATATTATTTATAATTATTTTATATATACATATATAAAATATTTCAACTATAAAAGAGTATTTGGACGAATTTTTTAAAGATTTCAAATTTAATCAAATATTCGATAGGTAAAAAATAATATGATTAACTTGCCATCTTTAAATAATTCGTGTTTCTTCTAATATATAAAAGGTTTTGATTTTTTTGACAGTTGTTTCGTCACGGCGACAGAACTCCTACAGAGACCTATCCTAAAGATCCCTACATAAATTACGCATGGCCCGGTGGCTGGGGCGCCCTGACTAAGGTTCGAGCGAGATATATGAACATATTGTTAAATCGACGCTTCATATATAATATATATCTAGAATCGCCATAAATTAAATTGCATATGTGCCTCTACGAGTGCATGTATCGGATATAAGACGCGCAATCGAGCGGGAATAATAAGGTACGGTACATTATTAATCTCTTGAAATTCATTTTCAGAAAGGAATGCTTCAACTATATGACGTGGGTCAATGGATCCGCCGAGAATACGGCGATATAATCGGTAATAAATTCGAAAGCGCAACCACGCTGGTACGAAGCAGTTATGCAGATCGATGCATTATGTCGGCACAAGCCTTACTCGCCAGATTGTTCGTACCAACTATGGAGGATATGTTTTTACCCGGATTAGCGTGGACTCCTGTTCCTGTACATTCGATACCACGAGATATGGATAAGGTAAACAAAAAGGATTTTGGATTTTTAAACGAGCTACAACTTAAAATCTTAGAAAGAAAAAGAGAGATTCGAGAAGTTCTCCATTTTAAATAAGTTGACTTAATGAATTAAAAACAGTCTCTATGTGACAAAAATCATTTTTTTTCGATTTGGAAAATAATTTTGTGTCATATAAAAATTTAAATAAATTATAAGAGTTACTTATTAAAATATGCAGATCTATAAAAAACTTATTTATCAAAACAAATATTACAGTTAATAACGGTGAAGGCACCATGCCCGAGATTAGCTGAAGCTCTAAAACAGGCATATTTAGAAGAGGCAAGAAGATCAGGCAAAGAAATGGCCGAATATTACAAAGAACTGACGGAGCATACTGGTCAGAATATAAGCACGATCACCGATGTCGAGTTTCTTTACAATACTCTCGAAATCGAGGAGCAACACGGTTTAAAACTGCCGGAATGGACGCGCAAATTTTACAATAACGGGATGCGCGAAATAGCCGCTCGCAGTTTAGCGATTTTTACTAATAGCACTATTCAAAAACGTCTTTTAGGAGGTACGGTGGTATCTTTGCACGATCAGTATCGCTCCAGATGCGCTTTTTAGCTGCATCGTTACGATATTTTATACCGTTACGAAATACCGTAAAAATTCTAATATTACCGCATAAATTTTAATATTTCCAGGCCCGCTGCTAAAGGAGATTTTATCGCATATGGAAGAGATTAGAACTGATTCCAAACCAAAACGATCTTATTTTTATTCTGCTCACGATATAACTATCGTTAATGTATTGAGAACAATGGGATTTACGAACGAACTTTTTAAACCCGATTACGGAGCAACGCTCATATTCGAATTACATCTCACGAATAATGGTGCCGATCAGGAAGTGAAGGTATGGTTATTGGTATTATTATCGTAAAAATTTATGGTACATGAATATTTTTTGTAAAGAAATTGTTTGGAATATCACATAAATTTTAAAATGTTTTAAATTCTTAATAAGAATTTCATTATATGTCTGAATTGTTTGGGAAATTTAAATAATATTTATGTGTATAGTTATATCAGAAATTATATCTGAGATTAATATAATTTATCAAGAATTTGCAATTATAATCATTATGTTTCATGTAAAATTTCTAAAATAGCCTGCATATCATAACGTACGACAAAACAATATTGCACATCCAATATCTCTATTATTTTCTAAATGTTAATCTTATGTTATCTCTATAATTATTATTTTATAAATTTTTTATTTATAAACAAATTTTATTTCTATTCTTTTATTTATAAAATAATAATTACATAATGATTATTATACGTATTATTTTCTTTGTTATAGACATTATATTTGAATAATACGGAAACAAGGGTCGCACATTCTTTGGAAATTCCTAACTGCGCGAGTCCTTGTTTATTACAGAATCTGAAGCAAGTGTGGTATGAAGTAATCCCGAATGATTGGGACGCAGAATGTAAAATATAAAAGAACTGAATATTTTAATATTAAACGTTTCATACTCTGTCAATATGAATTTTTCCACTCACCTTTTTATGCAAAAATTGCAATTACATATACATATAAAATAATATATAAGACTTAAAATGTTAATATATTATGGATATATGAATAATATAGTATATCATGTATATATATTTTTATACGGAAATTGCAAACATTGCAATTACATAAACATACAAAACAATGCAAGACTTAAAATGTTTATATATTTATAAATAATATATTTTTTTTCATTTTAAAATTTTGATATTTAAGTCAATATACTGCATAAAAGTAATTATTGAATATTTTTAAATATTGCATCTTATGAATTTTGTCAGAAAATATTTAATATGAACTATGTATATAATGATTTACGTATTAATATCACCATCGGTAATCATGATTTATAATAAATGTAAAAATTATTTGATTACTAAGAAAAATACGAGCAAAGGGGAGAAATTACAAGCATCTTGTATGCATAATATAAATGCATGCATAATATAAATGCACTCACCAATGCTGACTTGCTAATAGTATAGAATAGCGAAAGCACTTCGTTTTTTATTTGAATGTAGAGACGCATGCTGAGATGAAGATCCATTGTCCATTGAAGCTGTAAAAATAAAATAAAAATATATGTATATGTATATATATTATTTAATATACTATGCGTGTGTATACACACAGTATAATAAAAATAAATAATAAATAAACTATTTACCACATAGTTGTTCCACCGTTGCCCGATGCCTCCCTCGGCCTCCTCCTCGTAGAAGCACTTGCACTCGCGTTACTTTTTTTCGTTCGCGACGTGCGGCGACGTCCGGATTTTAGTTATTACATTTTCGTTTCGATAAAACGCGAAAATCGCGAGAGCTCGCGCGCGAATAATGCTCTGTTTTCGCGTCGCCGCTATTTTAAAGCCCATTTATCGGAAGGCCTTATTGAACGACGATGACGACTTCCCCCGCGACGCACTCAGGAGTCGTCAATATTCCAAAATTGACCACTTATAATTGTCTAATCTAATCCTAATTACGCATTCTTGTTAACTTTACACAATAATTATAATAGTTATTTCGGAATATTTTGAACGATATTTGTGATTTCGTATATAAAGATTAAAATTATATATCGTCTTTATTCTCCATGTTTATCATGCAATATAATCACGAATTTCAGCCTCTCTCTTTAAAAGAATTCTAGCACATTAAGATCTCGGTTTCGCACTTATTTTCAATTGCAATTTTAATGAAATTATTTTAATGTAGTGTATTATTATGAAATTATTGAAATTAAAATTGTTATGATATATTTATAAAAAATTATTTTGATATATATATATATTTCTATAGATATTTTCTTAATTTTAATTTATATTATCGCGATGATGAGAGTATCAAAAATCAACATGTAAAGTAGATCGCATTGATTTCAAAGATAGCGATTTAGTACCTTAAATTTTACTCACTGATATCGATGATTCAATATCGGTCACATTTCTGCAACAAAAAATTAATAGATCGTCGATTATAGATTTAATCAATTAAAGTATATGTTTCACAATTAAAAATATATTTTTTTGCAATAAAAAGTTATTTTTTAAATTTACAAAAATAGTTTAGAAATTATTGAATAAAATTACAAAACGTTAATTATAAGTAGAAATAAAAACTTTTAAATTAAAATAAAATCTATAAACTTATTCTCTTGTGATGTATATTCAATATTAAAATAAAAAGAATTTGATACATAAAAACTTATATATAACTTATATCATTATAATAAATTAAATTAAAAATTTGTATATTATAATGATTTTTTAATTAGTCGAAGGAAATTTTTTAATATTATGAAATTTTAACTGTGAAATATTAAAATAAACATAAAATCTCTTTACCTTCGAACCGATACTGTTTGGCCTGAACCGAATCCTTCGGTGCTGCAACGCCAAATTCACAAGAAATAAAACCACATTGAATCTGAAATAAATAATCATATATCGATTAAAATTATGATATATTCATTATAATAAATTAAATTACAATTATATTCTAATAATTAATTAATTATTTTGAGAAGATTCTTTGTATTATTAATTTTCAACCATGAAATATTAAAATAAACATAAAATTGTTTTACCTTTGAGCTGATTTTGCTTGGTGCAACCGAATCCTTCATAGTGCTGCAACGCCAAATTCGTCAGAAATATTGTATAATCACATCTGCATCTGAAACAAATAATCATATCGATTAAAATTATGGTATATTCATTATATTAAATTAAATTAAATTTATATTATAATAATTATTTAATTATTCTGAGAAAATTCTTGAAAATTATTATAAATTTTGAAATCTTAAAATAAACATAAAATTGTTTTACCTTTGAGCTGATTTTGCTTGGTGCAACCGAATCCTTCATAGTGCTGCAACGCCAAATTCGTCAGAAATATTGTATAATCACATCTGCATCTGAAACAAATAATCATATCGATTAAAATTATGGTATATTCATTATAATAAATTAAACTAAATTTATATTATAATAATTATTTAATTATTCTGAGAAAATTCTTGAAAATTATTATAAATTTTGAAATCTTAAAATAAACATAAAAATCTTAAAATAAACATAAAAATCTTTTCACCTTTCAGCCAATGCTTGGTCCAAACCAAATTTTTCAATATTGCAACGCCAAATTCGTGAGAAATATAATCACATCTGCATCTGAAACAAATAATCATTTTGATTAGAATTATGGTATATTCATTATAATAAATTAAATTAAATATGCAATTCTTGCTCTTTGCTAAATATTTTCGGCTCGACGATTCACGAGAAAGCTTTAAAGAGCAAAGTACGATATTGAAATTTAACAATAGCAATGTGGCGGCGCGGTCTCTTTGTCGACCCGCGATATTTTTACCAAGATTACGAACCTAGTTCGTCGCGTATGAATACTCCGACACGATGATGCAAAAATACGACCGGAAACGCGCAATCGCCCGCTTGGAATACCATCGACAACGTCGAAAAACTTCGGAATTTTTCACATCGAAAGTACTTGGTAATTCTCGCGATCTGCCCTCGTCGACTTGTTTACACGAACTTTCGGCGGCTCAGAGCTAACTTCACTGACTTCACGCGATCTTTCGGAGGAACGAACGTGAGGTTACGCGAGATTCGCCGGATTCGCGGCCGACAAGATCAATCTCACGCGTGCGATTGCAATCACGATGCCGTATACGGTAATTAACGATGTGAAGATGCTAATTAATATACTCACACTCGAGTCTCGTACTTTTGCGGACCGGATCGGCGCAGCGGAAATGGCGCGCAAATGTTGTTTATGAACAATACTAAGATGCACTAGAGGGCAGCATTCTAGATCTAGATTGTGTTCGAAAATATACTCATCTAGGGTCAAGCGCTCGATTGACCAATCAGGACAAAGAACTACTCGGTCTCTGATTGGTCATTCAAATTTGGACATCGACGGGCGGATTTTCGAACACAACCTTGATATTTCTTTCGACGTAAGATGGCGCCGATTTGAATTATTTATCCGCGCAAATAAATTATTTTATTTATTAATTGGTGTTGCGCGCGCATCAAAATGTATGTTAATATATAATTTGAAAACACACATATACCAGATATATTTATTTAAGAAATGTTCATATATTCGATATAAATGGTACGAAGAATTTTGTAAAAAAAAAAAAAAAAAAAAAAAAAAAAAAAAAAAAAAAATTTGTATAACACCTTATATTGCAAAGTAGCCTTATTATTAAGATAATTATCAATTAAATTATGCAAGATCCGATAAATGATAAAATATCTTTGGCAACGTCTATATATTAAAATTAATATAAAGATAGAAATTTTTATTAGTAAGAAATTATATTCTGTAAAAGAAATAAAATATGAAAAAATATATCCGGAAGAATAAGTTTTTATTATATCGTTTGTGCTGCTTTCTGATAAAGTAATATGCTTTTAAAACAATTTTAAATTATTCCATTGATTATTCCGTTTGCTTAAAACATTTTTTATTTTATTCATTCTTCACAAATTTTAATTTAGTTATTAAATTTCATAATTTTAAAACATTCAACTTGATATTTTATAAAACTATATATATTACCAAAGATATTTATATAAATTCTATTCTATTTCTTAATGAGACTGTAAACATATCGATCAAGTGCATAATAAGCCACTGCATAATTTGGTATCCTGCAAACTAGTTGTAATTCAAGCGAAGCTTGTTAAGATGAATAAATGGACACGAAATCGTTTAACTGGGATGTGTCCGGTTTACTTATGTAATAGCTGACACTGACCATTTTGCATATCATTGTGTAATATCACATGTGATTAGGAACTACCTATTGTTTCTAACCGTGTTGTCTATTGTTTCTAACCGTGAATACGCAATTAATATAATTAAACAGTGCAATATACGTTTGCAACAATAAAAAATATATCTCTTTGTGATCAATGTGTTAAATTTTTTAATACATTTAACGAATTATATTTTTTCATTTTATATATGATTTTAATCAAAAAATTTTTTTAATTATATAACTTTCTTAGAACCAAGAACTATTTAAGCAATAAAAATAATAATTTTTTGGCGAATAAGCAAAAATAATTTGAAAATGAAAGTCAATATTCATTGTAATTTGTTTTTTTAATTATATGCAATAATGTTTCAGTTTGAAATACACAGCCTTCTCAGATGAATTATACTCTATTAATTATAATTTTTTTACGGTATTGCCTCATTAACTTTTACTCTCTTTACTACTTCCGCAATATATTTTACTTTTTAAGTCAAAGCAAGTCAAGGAAACTGCTATACATATGATATCATACATTTAATAAAAAAGATAAGACAGAAAGCTTAACTTGTGCTTATCTTTTCCCGTGATTCACTAGTTGATAATTTAAATGCTTATATGGTTTTATTCGTGGGTAGTTTAATACTTTGCTCGCGAATAATTGAACACACAATATAAGGGAAGGTCATCGTTATCGATTGTCTTTCGACATGGTCACACATTGTTAACATTACGCCTTTATGTCGTTATGTCACTGTCATTCACAACTTCTATTAGAGAATTACATAACTTACTGTTCGTACATAGAAGAAAATTTCGGAATAATTTGAAACACCCTATTTTTACAAACTTATTCTTTTGAGTTTAATAAATAATAAAATTAATAAATCAATTTTTTCCACAAATCGATCTATTAATTTGCTATTAATTTGTATTTTTTGTTTTTTTAACAATTTTTAGTTATAATATAAAATATACTTTAACAACTGTTGTTGTAATTAAGGAAATGAAATTTTGCTTATTAATGCAATGGATAAGTAGAAATGCAAAGAAAAGGAAGGAGGAATAGAGCATTATTTATTTGGCGCTCTTAAAGTATATTTTTAGGCAAGACAGTACATTACTGTGTATTATAATTATCGTATACAGGATTTCATGAGTTGCTATAAATATATATGTATATGTAAAATAAATAAACGCCATATAATCGACTGTGAAAGAAAATGAAATTCTTTTCTTAATTCTTCTCTTTTGTAAATTTCAGTTATTTTAATGCAATTTTCTATCGGCCATCCTATTCCTCCTATAACCTTGGTTTTTTTATTTTGAAAAAAATTCATTGTACCTTGTGAGATATCTCCATATAATTCGTCATTCTTCGCTTAAAAGATGCTCGACGAGATAACGATGCAACATTTCTGCGAATTAAATGTGTATTGTTTTCTTTTTCTTAGATTTGATTTATCGTCGACACACATCGCGTGATCCGTACCACTTGCAAGTTATCTTTTTCGAACCTCAGGTTTAAAGAATAATGTACCTGTAAAGAAAGCGTAGTCAAAAAAAAGTATCATGAAATTCACGCCTAATCCAAAAATGCTCGATTTCAGACATCAGAACATGCAAGAGATTTCGAATGCCTGCTATATTGCGAAAACTTTTCTGAAGCTTTTAAACGATATATCTCGCGCAAAAATATATTTAGAAAGAGAAAAATCTTTATTGGCATTTATGTAATCGCGTTGTCTTATCGGAAATTCTACGAGTGCAAATCATGTTCGATACAGTATACAGTAAAATCAGAGAAAAATAAATAACAGATAATATAATGATTAAGTACATAGTATTATCTCGTTTTCTGCTTACGTTTTCTTTTGCATTTGCAACTATTTCCTGTTATCTTTTTGCTCCGGACGAAGCGATTTCCGCGTAAAATATGCGCACGTTCAACGTGAAATATTACACTCATCGCGCGGGGCCTCATTAATCGATCTGAATTTGCGCACATAACTCTTGCACTTCGACGGCCAATCAACGTCGTAGAAAAGCGATTATGCGATTATGCGAGATATCTCGAAAACTTCTCGAGATATTTTGGGGTTATAATAACTTTTTTTTAATTACAAAAATCAATATTTAAAATATATTCCTGCTACTTTTTACATTTCTGATTTTATATTTATAATTTATAAAATTCTATTTTGATTTACTTTCACCTTTTCAGTAATTTCTATTTTAATCTGTCTTCTAGTCAATAAATTAACCTATATATTTACTTGCATATTGTTATAATAAATGGGATTAATTTATCAATCAAAAATAATATATATCTATGATTAACTTATATTTATAACTGCCGCTCACATAGATATATATACAAATAAATATGCAAATCTGATTACTTCATACCGTCTTGTTCATTCATTCGTGCCTCGACAATTGTCAGTTGTCAGTCGGTCGCGGAGCAAGAAGGAGAGAGAAAGAGGGAGACAGAAGTGAAAGAGGGGAAGGACAGAAAGAGAGAGAGAGAGAGTCGCTCCGCGTCTGTGCACGAGGTACACGAGGAAGGAGTGCCTCGGAGATCTCGTATATCGGTTCCATTTATCAGTGCGACTCCGCCTAGCTCTGCCAGTTCGTTCCCTCGAACTGCTCGCGCAACGCAACGTGTCTGCCATCGGGTTTGCGTCATCATTGACGATTGTGACAACCGCTCCTTTACCACCACTACTTCGCAACCACCACCATCACCACGTCCTCCGGAAGTTCGCGTTGTACGCGATCTTCCGCAGTCGATGTGTATACGTCACGTCGGCGGCGGATCATCTCGTCGTCGTCGTCGTCGTCGTTGTCTTGACTGTACTTTCCCATTAGTCCGCATCTATCTTCTTGTCTATCGCGCTCCAGCCAGCGCGCCCGTTCAACCTTGACTGGCGGATCTGGACAAAGGTTGGTGCTCTCTCGACCCGCGACAATTCTGTCTGTACGCACGTCTTCATAGTTTTTTGCATTTTCGCAATTCATTCTTCGTTACAGGCGTTAAATAATTTGTTTCGAGTCTCAGAAAACCTAGAAAGGTACAGTAAATGTCAGAAAATGCCTTGCAAGATATTGTAGATAAAAGGAGGTGGTACCACACAGATGATCTGAGATGTCGGAAAAGAAGGTGGTACCGAGAATATGGTCGAGAAGTAGATTTTTTTTTCAGGCAAAGATTGGGTTTCTCACGATACTTTATTTATGTCTGTCTTCAAAGAATTCCAGACTAATTTTTATAATTGATATGATATCTTTAACCTTTTAACTCAAACTATTTCAGTTTGAAATAACTGACTTTGAATTTTATCTATAGTATTAGATTAACACTAATCTTATCTATAATAGATTTCAAATGAAAATAATGTATTTTATAAGGCTTGGTGTTAGTTAATATTACAGAGTGATGAACGTTTAGAATGTGAAACTGTGTATTAATATACATGATGTTATCATTAAGTAATAAAAAAAATATTTTACTTGCAGATCGCCAACATGTTTAGCTGGCTAACTCGTGAAGAGAATAACAAGCAAGATCTCTTCGAAAATGTCACTGAAGGTCTCAAGAGGATATACAAATCCAAATTATTACCATTGGAACAATATTACCAATTCCATGACTTTCATTCACCACAACTGGATGACCCAGATTTTGATGCAAAGCCAATGATTCTCTTAGTTGGGCAATATTCGACTGGCAAAACTACATTTATCAAATATTTATTAGAGAGAGAATTTCCTGGTATTAGGATTGGACCAGAGCCTACTACAGATCGATTTATAGCAGTGATGTACGATGAGAAAGAGGGTGTTATTCCTGGAAATGCCTTAGTTGTAGATCCAAATAAACAATTTAGACCACTTTCAAAATTTGGCAATGCATTCTTGAATAGATTTCAATGTTCAACTGTAGCCTCGCCTGTTTTAAAAGGCATATCCATAGTGGACACACCTGGTATATTGTCTGGTGAAAAACAACGAGTAAGTCTTATATAGCTTATTTAATAAAAAATATATAATATTTGATAAATATAGTAAGGATATCTAAATACAAAATATTCTTTTTTTAGGTTGACAGAGGATATGATTTCACTGGTGTTTTAGAATGGTTTGCTGAACGTGTAGATAGAATTATATTGTTATTTGATGCTCATAAGCTCGATATATCAGATGAGTTTCGTAGATCTATTGAGGCGTTACGTGGGCATGATGATAAGATTAGAATTGTTCTTAATAAAGCTGACATGATAGACCATCAACAACTTATGAGGGTATATGGTGCATTAATGTGGTCTTTGGGAAAAGTTTTACAAACTCCAGAAGTAGCTAGAGTTTATATAGGCTCATTTTGGGATCAACCATTAAGATATGATGTTAATAGAAGGTAATTTACTTTTATATGTCTTCTCTTTTTATATTAATTTATTTTATATTATATTTTTCATGTGTATGCATTTTCTTTTAGATTATTTGAAGATGAAGAGCAAGATTTGTTCAGAGACATGCAATCACTTCCAAAAAATGCTGCATTACGAAAACTCAATGACTTAATTAAACGAGCACGCTTGGCAAAGGTAAAGTAAAGAATTTAAAAGATTTATCAACAGTTAAATATATTAAACTGAGTCTGAGTATAACAAGTTTGAAACAAATTTGTATTTCTTAATATAATTTTTAATATAATTGACAGGTGCATGCATACATAATAAGCGCCTTACGAAAAGATATGCCAAGCATGTTTGGTAAAGATACTAGGAAAAAAGAATTAATAAAGAATTTGGGACAAATTTATGATCAAATACAAAGAGAACAACAGATTTCACCTGGTGATTTTCCGGATTTAAAGAAGATGCAAGAATGCTTAGCGCATCATGATTTTAAGCAATTTAATCCCATTAAGCCTAAATTGTTAGAAGTGGTGGATAAGATGCTTGCTGAAGACATTGCAAAACTTATGGCTATGATACCACATGAAGAAGTCACCACAGTTTCGGAACCACTTATTAAAGGTAAATGATTTGTAAATGTGTATTTATTATTTTGAACAAATTATTTTATCTTAAATTAAAATCTATTTTTAAAAATTCTGTAATATTAAAAGAAAGAGGGCTATGTAATAATAATCTTTCACAAAATTTTTGTTAAAAAATAAATAAACATTGTTTATTGAAAAATTAATATCAAAATGTAACAATTTCTTGTTGAAAAATGATTGTATTTCATTTATTTAATTTTAGGAGGTGCATTTGAAGGTGTAGAAGATCAAGTTAGTCCATTTGGATACAAAAGAGGAGAAGGGATTGATGCAGGAGCAGGTGAACCAGAATGGATTGTCAATAAGGAAAGATATAAATATGATAGCATCTTCGAATCACTTGGACCACAAGAAGGAAAGATTACAGGAGCAGGTAGAACTAATAAATTTTTATAGAATTTACTTTTAAAGTAATATATTATACAATTCTTTGTATTACTATAGCGGCTAAATCGGAAATGGTTAAATCTAAATTGCCGAACAGCGTGCTTGGAAAGATCTGGAAACTCTCAGACATTAATAAGGATGGATTCTTAGATTCTGACGAATTTGCTTTAGCTATGCATCTAATCAATGTAAAGCTCGAAGGCTACGATCTTCCGGCTGAGCTGCCAGAACATCTAATACCACCATCAAAACGCGATATATAATATAATATTCTCGTATTGTAATTTATTACATTTCACAAATGGCATACGCGCTTGAAGCCACAAGGAACCACAAATTAGGACAATTTATCAATAGTGCGCTGATTGATGCCATTGATTCACAGGTTTGAGAACTATAAAATTATACTTTTACGACCAGATGTATCATATTATGTGTATACTGTCTTATTCTGATAATATATCAAGGCCGGGAAACATATATAGCTTGCAATTTTTAGAGAAATACTAAATAAGATCAACTATATAGTGCATATATATATATATACAGTATCTTTTAAATAATATTTTTCGGAAATATGTATATGGAGGTAAAAACTATACACATAGTATGCAATGCTTACTGGCATATTAGTATATAAAACAACTTAGAATATATGCTTTTATTTAAAATGTTAAGTTGTTAAGATTGAAATATTGGCCTTGAAATTGTACTTGTACTTTAGAACTTTATAATTATATCCTAAATTGGAAAACATTCGATCAATGAATAAGAGACTGCATTTGGATATATTAAAGCAAATAGCTTTTTCTTTAAAAAAAATAATGTACAGGATATTTCTGACAGATTTGATCTAACTTTAGAAATATCATTTTGCAGATAAAATAAGCTATAAATTTAATAGAACTGAAAATGTTTAAATTAAAATGAAAACTATACTCTGAAACCAATTCTAATTTTCTACTTAGAATTAATAAACAAATGTTTCCAAAATTGGATCAAACCTTTTAGAATATCTTGTATATAAAAATAAAAAGAAAGTAGAGAGTGGAAATTTATAAGAAAATAAAAGACTGGATTAAAAATGTAGATTTTGCATATTCTAAGAAAAAGAAATAAATTTTTGAACTTTGACAAAAATTATTCTCATTAACAACGAAAAAAATTTATCTTATTTTATATATAAATTAAAACATCAAAAATATTAAATTTTTAATTCTAAATAAAAATAAAATTCTTAATCAAACTGACCAAGAAATACTTAAAATTTTGAAAAAATACAATCTTTTTTACTATATTATTTATCAATAAGGAATATTACATAAACCAAATTATTTTAAGTTAAAATTTTTGAGAATTTAAACTAATTTATATTGAAGCCAATGTCTATTGCATAACTATTATATCATATTATTTAATCAGATTTACTTAGATTACTAAATTTGTTTCTTTTGCAACATTGATACCAAAGAATACGACGTTAAAAATAAAAGTATACCATACATGTGTGTAACATCTACGAAATTTCTAAACAAAACTATATATTATGTATGTTGGGATTTATTCTATTTATAAAATTTTTTTATTTTATTATAAAAAAAGTTAGGCAAATGATATTGTGTATATTTGTTATTCTTTAATTATGTGCGCACTGTTAAAACGGCTATAACATTACTTTGAATTTTCAATTGCATTTTTTTATTAGCACTGCCTTCGCATGCCGCGAATTTATGTGATATCCAAAAAATACATTCATATTACAAAAACTATTCAAACAAATATTTATTTCAAAATAATATTAAAAAATAATGTAAAATAAAAATAGTCAGAAAAGTTATTTTCGAAGTAAATAATATATAAAAAGTAATTAAAAGTTTACTTGGCAACAGTTTAAAAAAATTACATGCATTCTACGTTACACATAGAATGTTGCTGCAGAATGTTTAATCAGTTCGTTTTCACATTTATATGAATACATTCGTTTAATTCGTTTTTAATTTTTCTATATTTTTGATTATGCATTTTTATCACTGTTGGCAACAAAATACAATTACTTTTTATTACATTTAATACATATTATTGTAATACAATCGAGAAAGGAAGAAAAGTTTATGAAAAAGCACAGTATATACATTTAGACATCTTTAATATATTTAATATATGTATATATATATACATATGTGTATATATATATATATATATATATATATATATTTATAAAATTACAAATAGTTTTTAAATATCTATATGTGTAAAATGTATATTATATATAAAATATTTCGATATTTATTGCATTTTTACATATGCAGCAGCAAATACACACGGATTCATCTTTACAACGTCTTTTATAAAATATGTATTTATCTTTGTATTTTTACTCTATATATAATAACTATACTCGTGAACACTATTTTTAGAAGAAATACGTCAAATACTTTATTGAATTAAATATTAATGCATTTACACAAAAGAGCCACAAAAATGTATTTTTATTAAAAGAGGCAAAAATATCAGAAATATTTGAAAAAAAGAAAAAAATTGATTTATTTCAATTTAATAAATTAAATGCATATCTATTTTATTATTATACAGGTTAAAACAATCATTAACAAATAAAAATTTTTTAAATTTTGTTGATATTACAGACTTTGGATCTTTTTTATACGAGATTCTCCAGGATTTATATTTTTACAAATTTCATATTAATATTTTTACAATATTCAGTATACACTGAAAAAAATGACTACATTAATAAATATTTATTTGAATACTCGCAAATAAATCATTTATTTGAAATATTTATATTATATTTTATTTGTTTTGAAAAAGACTTTCTTAAATAATAATAAATATTTTTCATATCAAATCAATATTATTAGCTTCAAGCTAAATAATTCATTGGGCAGTATTGAAATAAATATACTTATTCGAATTCTCTCTCTCAATACATTTTTTTCAGTATATATGAGAAACAATGTGTATTTTATTTATTGACTATTATGCATAATTTGTATGTGTTTAAGGAAAGTTTGCAAAATGTGTGTGTGTGTGTATGTGTGCATGCGCAGGCATGTGTGTAGACTAAAATTATTCTGCATATAAAAATATATAAAAGTATCACAATACGACTCATATCTAATCTAATTCCTGTTTTTGTTCCTTTTACAAGAGTGAAATTTGAGTTTTTCACAAGCACCAGTTGCGGCAGTGGAACACTGCATATATTGCAGATAAGTACTACTAAAATTTGTTAAACTCAATTTAAGCATTATTTGCCCATCATAACTCATCATGTATTTTATGAAAATTAATAAGCCTTAAAACTTCATCTCTGATTGCCTCGGCCGTCCTTGCAGTAATTTTTTTGATATTTATATCATTTCCTTCTTTTTCTTTTGTTTCGGTTTATATAATATTAATGTCGGAAATTCATTTATATGTGCACATTTGTCCAAATAGAAGTAGCAATTAATTTTTCCAAATTTTACTTTTTCTAACAACTAAAATTAAAACAGCAGATTATATAGTTTAATTATCATTGAATGAATTACATAAAGTTAAACTATATGGTCATGTTTATAATAGAATAACATTTACCTGAGCAGCAATTGCAAATTCAGGTTCCATCTTTTGACAAGCCCAACATTGTGGTAAATAAAAATCGACGATCCATATGTATTTATTATTCATTCCATCCAACACTATTTGATAATCCTTGGGAGTTAAGTCATAGACTCTCTTTGGAAGGAATTTTATTATCCACGTTAATATGGATAACGAATCTCGTTTTCCATTGTAAAAACTATATGTAAAATAAAAAAATGTTATGACAATTTTATGTATTAAAAATGTATTGTAATATATGATTTATATGAATATATACATACACAATTGTGAATTATAATTACTTACCCAATTTTACTTAAACCTTTGTTTCCTAATGGATACATCCTAATCTCAGGATAAGAACGTATTCTTTCAGATGAACATAAGAAAGATTCAGCCTCACAGTCTACACTGGCTATATTTACAAACGACAAACAGTTCAGTGTTTTTGCAACGATTATCCATTCAGATGCTAATATTTGACATGGTGGACACCATGGTGCAAAATAATCAACGATCCATATAATTTTACTTGTCTTTTTCGCCAGTGTATGGTAAAAGTTTTCAGATGTTAATTCTATAACTGTATTTAAAAAAACATGAATAAACAATAAGAAATGAAAAATATAAAATACTTAGACATATTATCTCTTACCTGATGGATTTCTCTTCTCATTAATGAATTGGATAATATGCGCAGCTGTTTTTGGTAATGTAAATTGATATCTACTGCTGCCATTTAAAAGTATTGCAGTAGAATAATACTTTATATTATAACGATGACACAGCGTAGTGTGAATAATACAATCAATGGTACCAAAACGAATTATTGATGCATCAAATTCTAATGATGCTTTGCGAAGTTCGGACAGGAACTGTATACAAGGTGTACACCATGGTGAGTACCAATCTAAGAACCACACTTCATTTTCTGTAACATTTTGTTACAATAAGTATTGCAAAATTTCGCCCAAAAAAATAGTATTGCGTTTATAATACATACTATTATCTCCTTCTAATATCAATAATACTTCCTCTGTAGAGAGCGCCCTAACGTTTGTAGCTTTCACACTAATCTGTATAAATTTGATAAGATCAATAGCGTTAATAACTTTTTCGTGATTCAATTCAAATGCTCCACCTGGCTTAAATATGCCCCAAATTGGATAACGATTGATGCCTAATTTAGTACAAAACTGTCCATTTTTGAGACAATTTATTTTACCTGTAAAAAAAATATAGTATATATTATGTAAAAATATTCTACAATAAGTTCTTTCGTAAACTTATACAATAAATACTTTACCTAAATTAACACCACTGATTGACAATTTTTTCATTTGCAGATTTAAATATTTAAGATTTGCTGTATTATTAATATAGAAACATATTAGCCAAGCAGCATTAAACTCTGTTTTCTCAATAATCTGTAAATTATAATTAGGTATATCTGATTAATACAAATAAAAAAACAGGAATTGCATTCATTATAAACGGGCTAACAAAATAATACTTTACTTACATCAAAATAATTATCAGTCAGTTCTTGTAAACCTGGCAATTGTTCCAAAATTTTTTCTATTAATGTATCTATATCAGACATATTAAAAAGTACAGGTTCCCAAGAAGATACATCATATGTTGGTAGATAGATCGCGTGTGTATTGAAAGGTATCTCTTCAGGATACTTATTCTTGCATGTAAACACTTTTACATCAACTATCTCATCCTGAAAGAACCATGCACATGTTATTTAGAATTAAAATATAGAATAAATACAGTATTTTGATAAAAGTTTTTTTAGTGAAAATAAATATTTGTATAAATAATGTAATATTTACAAATTTAGCTGCTACTATAAGTCTTTCATCAGAAGTAAAACAGTTTTGCTGATCACTGCATATAAAAATTAGTGTAGGTCTTTGGGTAACAATCTTATTGTGTAAAAACAACTCCCATTGTGATGCACTTATCTCAGATATGTCAATATTTAATTTATCTAATGCAAATTGCATAATGGCTTCCTGTGATTTTTCTCCTGTATAATGTATTCCATGGTGTGAATTCTTTAAGACAGAGATGAGTTAGTATTTCATCTTACTGATATGTTCCATCCCAGCAAACACAAATGTTACAGTAACATAACATATATGTAATAGTTATGTTACAATATAACATTTACATCTATGTTATGTTACTGTAACATTTGTGTTTGCTGTGATATATATGAAGAAAAAATATCTAAAATTATGTAAAATCTATTTTCTAAGAAAAATTGATATATAGACAAATTAGACATCTTCTCTATCTTTCCTTCCCCCTCCTCTCTTCCTTTTTTGTATACATACCTTTTCAAAATACATCAGTGTAGGATAGATATTGATTCCATTTTTATAGCATAGTTGCATATAATATTGACAGTCCACTACTGCAATTTTCATAATGCCATTAAATAACTTAGCAATGTTCGTCCAAGTTGGAGCTAAGTAAATACAATGATGGCATAACGGAGAGTAGAAATTTACAAACCAATTTGAATCAGAATTCAAAACATTTTCATCTATAAAAATATATATATATAATATTAATATTTAACTGGTTTTAATTAATTCTTCATTTTTATACATATATTTATACACATTTATTATAATAATATTAATCTTAATATAACTAAATATAATAATCATAATAATTCTTAATAGGGAGCAAAAAATTATAAATATATACTCACAATAATCATTTTCTTTCAACTTAATAATATATAAATCAAATATAAATATGTTTTGATGGGGTGGATTCCACGAATAAGTTTGTTTTTCATTAAAATTTTTAAGGCCATCTTCTCCATAAAGATCGTATCTTTTTTTTAAATCATTATTCTTCAACACATCATACGCTGTTGTTAATCGAACAAACTTCCCATGAGCATTTGGATCATCCTGAAATATTAGAACATTGTTAACAGTATTTTAGATAATAATAATTGATTATATTATATATAATAATTAACATACAATATTTTTATCAGGATGATAAATAATAGCCAACTTCTTAAAAGCCCTTTGAATTTCATCCTTGCTAGCGGATCTGTCTACGCCAAGTATTTCATAATAATCTTTTCCCCGTATTAAAGGAATAATAACAAAGAGAATAAAAGTAATTTGATACCTGTAATAAATTTTAAAATTACAATTATAAATATATATACACATATATAATCATATATATTTTGTGATTGAATATAATCATAATGTAAAACTAATTTTATTTCGAATATGTTTTATAATCAAATTAATCATATTTAATTCGAAACAATGAAATTTTGTGTAAAAATTATCAGTAAATAATTAAATCAATTCATAGAAAACAGAGTACAAAAATATATACTTACATTTCTATAAAGTTTTATTACGATTAAAATTAAACTATTGCTCTGATAATGTAACACTATCAAGTCGAAACAATTATATATAATTATAGATCATAACATAATTCCTAACATATAATTCTACGTGTCGTAACAACTCTTGAATCACCCACGCTTTCCTCATGACGCGATTTAAAATATACACATTTCACCATTTTTGGATCAAACACAATCCTAACCTGTCGAGCGAGAGACGATCGGTCGAATGGACGTCGATTTGACCAATTCGACATCTAAAAAGAATGTTTTTCGTTTTTCTTTAAAAGTAAATAATGAATTATTATATTTATTTCTATAGAATATTTCAAATTCAAATAAACACGCTTGAACGTAACACCGAAACTTTATTTATGGAAAAATATAATAGCAGCAAATAAAGAAGATTATTTCAATAGATACTATTGAGATAATAATGATCTTCGAGGAGACTCGATAAATATATCGCGAGCTAAAATTAATCAAGATTTTTGAACGATAAATAAGTGTTTCATTTTTATATTTTGTGTTTTTGATGGGCTCGTATAATTATGTAAATTTAGCGCAAAATACGTTGTTATTTGAAACTTCGAGCCTATATAACGCCAGCCAATCAACGCTCGCATTAGGGACGCGCACATCGAGGGAATATCAGGGAACTTCAAGGAGCTTCGTGATTGGTCATCGTCAAAATAGGCGCGCAAGCATGGCCAAGCTGCTTCGTACCAAGCCGACCTTTCCAGTTTGCGTTAGTGAAAATAATATCAGCCGAAAGTACGAAATTAATTACGTTTCAAATAAATAATCTGAGTGCATTTGTGCACGAATAGATTTTGTCGCAAGAAACGTAAAGATCGGAAGATTAAATGTCACCCAGGCGAACTCGCGCAGGTGAGATTACAAATATGTGTTTCTTCTTGATTAGGACCCGGAAAGACACAAGGTTATAACCTTCGCAATTTCGTCTTCGTGTTTGCATTGTTTTTTTTGTCATCGCGTAGTGTTTTGAAAATTCGAGAGTATGATATTTTTTTGTTTCGATATTTCATCGTCGTCACTTTAGTGACTGAATGTCTTAAAGCTTTGTGTTTTCCCGCAAGTTTTTCATTGCGAGAAAGGATTTTAAGGTAATCTGTTGTTTTCCAGGATCGGGATCTGCTGTTTCCACCAGATCTAAGCGGAAAATAAATAATATGGACGAAGAAGATACGGCAGAATTGATACAACAGACTAGGGAGTCTCAGAGAAAACCTTTGGAAAGAACTGCTAAACAAAGTGCCAGAAAAAAATCACCCGATACAAAGGTAATGTTGAGGAAGTCTGCGAAAAAGAAAATTCGTCGGAAACTTAACTTAACCCAAGAAGCAGAAAATGAGGATAACTTCACAGCGCAAAAACAGACCATGGATATCACTGGATCGATCAAAATACTAAGAGATAGGCATAAGAAAACATCTCTGACAGAACATAATCTTTCTCAGTTAAATACTTCAAAAGATTTAGACTCAAATAAAAAGCTTGATAAAAAAGTACAACGAAAAACTGGTGTCACAGATGTGAAAAATTCTATTAATGTCACACCTAAAAGCACACCGCCTAAGCTTAGTCTTACTCCTCATAGATCTAAGAAAACTCCAAAAAAATCGCCAATTTCTTTAGGCTCTCCAAAGACACATTCAATAGCTGTCTCAAAATTGTTTAAAAGTCCACGAAAATTGTCTCTCCTTACCAAATCTGAAGAGAATTTAAATAAGTCAGATAAGTCTCAAAATGAAAAGGAAAAAACTAAAAAAGATAGATTAAACAATTCTTCTACATCTAACAAGAGCTTAACACCACCAGTAGCACAAAGCAACCTAAAAGCACCTAAAAGCACACCGCCTAAGCTTAGTCTTACTCCTCATAGATCTAAGAAAACTCCAAAAAAATCGCCAATTTCTTTAGGCTCTCCAAAGACACATTCAATAGCTGTCTCAAAATTGTTTAAAAGTCCACGAAAATTGTCTCTCCTTACCAAATCTGAAGAGAATTTAAATAAGTCAGATAAGTCTCAAAATGAAAAGGAAAAAACTAAAAAAGATAGATTAAACAATTCTTCTACATCTAACAAGAGCTTAACACCACTAGTAGCACAAAGCAAACACAGGAAGTCTGGTATCAATTTGAAGGCAATGGTACGTAAATTCTCTAAATCCCCAAAAATAGTATTGAGGTCTCCAAAATCAAAGAAGTCAAAGTCCCGTAAATTGAAGTTATTATCTCCATCTCAAAAAGTTAGAAAGAATTCATTAAAAACATCTGCTAACATTACTTCTGACACAACGCCAAATTTTGATGTTGCAAAATCAAATATTAGTACAAAAAAGTCTCCTAAAGAAAAGAATTTATCAAGATCCAACCATCAATTAATAAAGACACGGACAATTTCACAAGAGAAAGATATGCTAACAGAACCAATAGTGTTATTAAAGAGACTATCACCGGAAAGAATACAGAATATGTCAATGGTTGCTAATAAAATTCAACCAGAAACTTCAATCACAAAAAGATCTCCCTCTATCAATACAAGGAATAATTTCAAAGTATTAACAACTTCTGCTGGATCAGATATGTCTGTTAATCGAAATTCTAACACTAAATCACAGAATAGTAATGCAGAAAAACTCAAAATTAATAGAGTATCACCAAGAATTAAACATAATATATTGATACAAAGAAAAGATGGATCATCTATACCTTTAATATCATCTACTCCACGAGAAAAGACGAGAGAGATACCATCAATAGATATAAATTTGACTTTCAATACACCTATTATAAATGAAGATAATACATCTAGTATTAAATCACGACGTAAAAATCAATCCAATATGTCTAATGTAATGCATAAAAGTACAGCCATTGAAAATATATCTACACCTTCTTTATTTGAAAATACTAGTGATGCTAGTCAATTTCATATTTCAAATGTTACAAAACAAGACACTATTGAAAAGGAGTTTAGTTTAATAACGCCAGAAAAGAATCAAAAAAACGAAAAGCGTAATACCTATGAATTGGAACAACCGCAAACACTAAGTTTACGACAGATGATCAAAAAACGAACTTCAACAGATGCAAACTTAAGCTCCAGAGAAAATTTAAAAAAGACTAAAGTCCATTTTGCAGATGAAACATTTAACACAAGCAATGTGAACAAATCAATTAATAATTTGAGTGGATCAAACATATCACACAACGTTAAAATACAAAATAATATAAATTCAGCACACAAATCAAGAAAGATTGAAACTCCAAAATTAAACCAAAACTCGTTAGTTTTTCCTTTCAAGACAAGATCAAGTCCAAGAACAAATATAGTTACACCGAGAATTCAACTAAATAAAGTCACACCAAAATCTTTTACATTAATGGAAAATAAATCAGGTAAGATAAAATAAAAAATTGTCTATATATTTATTTTGATTCTAATAAACACGGATATTTATTTACAGAGAAGAAATCGTCCACGAAAAAAGTACCAAATTTTGGAAAGATACATGAACAAATGTTTGCTAAGTCAGAATCGCTCGTGGATGCAAAGAAACGTGTGGAAGCTAGACACTTGGCATTATGTAATTTGATAACATTTATTATTCTTCATACATCAATAATTCTTATATATATTTTTCTTTTACTTTACATAATTATTTGTTATATAGCTGCGAAGAAAGTTCGTCCAAAATTAGATACAAAGAAAGAAGAGAAGAAACCATTGCCAACTGACACAAAAGATGGCACTCACAATAGATTCGGTTTCAAGCTGAGAAAAAACGAAGCTACACACGTTATATTGAGAAAGCAAGTTACTTTTTCAAGGTATGTCAAATTAAAAAAAAAATTATATAATTACACATGCACATACACTTATTCGCAACAGTAATATAATTTAATCAATTCATCTTTTATTAAGATAATTTAAATTTTATTAATTGCTAAAATTGTGTAAAAGGAAGGACTTAAATCTTATTATAAATATTAAATTAAATCTAGATCTGTGCAAAAAATCTCAAAATTTAATTCAAAATTTACATGATATAAATATTTGCAGACAGAAGCAGCAACAGGAAACGCGTATGACACTGAAGGGTGTACGAATGAATCGACGCTTTGAATTGCAAATGAAAGCTCGCAATTTAAATCCATGAAAATCTATATGTTATGTAATATTATGTAGTTTGAGCTTTTGATAATATATGTATTTTTTTTTTTTTTTTTGCAGGAGTTTTCACACCTTAAGAAAGTAAAATTTGTGCAATTATAATTTTATTTTATATACTATCAAATTATTTGTTTTTTTTTAAAGAAAATTTAAAAAATTTTACAAGATATACTTAATATACTTTATTCTACATTTATTTATTATGTATAAACCAATAACATTAATAAATCAAAAAAATTTTTATTTACGAATTGATATAATAATTCATTTAGACATATTACGAAAACAAAATTGTGAGTTTTATATTAGAATAAAAAAATAAAAGGACAGCTATAAACTATGACTGATATAAACTATATCGAATAAATTATGCAAAATATATATTGTAAAACTTTTAAAGTTTTCTTTGCACAAGTTTTATTTCTTTGAGGTATGAAAATATTTTGCTAATCTGTATTAACTTTTAAAAGTAAGTTAATATAAATGAAAACATTTTTACTAATTTCTTTTTAAAAGTAAGTTAATACAAATTTGTAAAAATGTTTTCATATCCCAAAAAAATAAAACATGTGCAAAGGAAACTGAAAGTTTTACAAGATATATTTGCGTCTTATTTTACATTTATTTTTATTACATACAGTGTATATCATATCCTGTCCTTTTATTTTTTATTCTAATATAAATTTACATTTTTTGTTTTCGTAATAGGTATCCCTAAATGAATTACTATATAAATTCGTAAATAAAAATAAAATTCTTTGATTTATTAATGTTATTGGTTTATACATAATAAATGAATATAGAATAAAGAGCAGTATATCTTGTAAAACTTAGTTTTCTTTAAAAAAGAAACATGATTTGATAGTATATAAAATATAATAATTTATAAGATAAACTTTAATGATATTTTAAGAGTAATCACGTTAAACTTGATAATTTGATTATTGATTTTTCAAGATTTCAGCAAATCAGTTCAAGACTGAACTTTCAATTTAATGTATTAAAGAAACAATTAATAATATGTGTAATACATCATAATTATATAAAATAGGATAAAAAATATATATATATGCATATATGTTTTATATATTTAAAAATATCTTTAGAGAGCAGGTTGATAGAAAGAGGAAGAATGACAAATAGTATATCTCAATATAGATAAATAGTCATATAATTAAAAAAAAGAATAAAATAATTGGAGTAAATATTAGTATCTTCTATCGGCGATTAACGCCTAATATATCATCAGAAGTTGTGTAAACGCGGTCTGAGAAAACGTGATACACGTGTTGCACATGCGTGCATAGCACACATGCACACGTCTGTTGAGATGCGCTGGCAGCACACACAAGTCAAGGTGGCCACAACATGAGGGAAAAATCGCGGTGATCAAATGGCTGTCATCGCTTTTTATGACAGATGTTTTACGTGATTAATCCATTTCGTTAATTCACAATCTTGCGCGCACGAATGTACCGGACGAGCTCTCTCGTCTCTTGAATCTCGCGCGACTCGAGGCACGCGTCATCGTCCTGTGTCATCTTTCGAATTGTATAAAAAGTCAAGAACCTAGAGCAGACAGAGAGCGAACGAGCATCGAAGAAAGAAGAACGCGCTTCGTCAAATGTCTCGTCGACGAAGCGGTTAGATATCTTTTGGTGAAGAGTGGAGAGAGAGAAGGAAACAGAGCGAGAAAGAGAGAGAGAGAGAAAGAGACAGACTTGGAGCCAGCTGGTCGTGGGCTCATCGTGTACCCGAGGAAGGCATCGTTCGCGAAGTGTCCAAGTGTCGTGAAGTGATAATATCGGGGAGTCCAGTGGCGGACATCGCACGTCGACCTATCAAGCACAATGGCAAAGACGTATGATTATTTATTCAAGTTGTTGCTGATCGGCGACTCCGGCGTGGGCAAGACTTGCGTGCTGTTTCGATTCTCCGAGGACGCCTTCAACACGACCTTCATCTCCACCATCGGTATGCGTGAGACACGTCGTGTCTTCTTCTCCCCCCCTCTCCTCCTATCTCTATCATTTAATCGTCTTCGTCGTCGCGCTTCCCAGGGTGTGTCTCGAGAAACGTGTATCTCGTCCGCCTAATGTCACACGGGTACATTAGACAAAGAGACATTATGTCGAGTTCCTCACAGTAACGTGATTCATCCTGCACTATATATCAGTGTTACTTAATTGCTTGTATCTATCTCTTCACATTCTTAAGAGTGCTTCTTGATGATTTTGTTATGTTACGTTACAGGCATTGACTTTAAGATTCGTACCATCGAATTGGACGGCAAGAAAATTAAACTACAAATATGGTAAATATTACCTTATCATATTTTCCTTCAATTTATATATTTCTGCCAATTAACTTGTGATTTACATTTGTAATATAAGATTCAATTTGATCGACTATATTATAAATTATGTATGTACTCTTATAGGGACACAGCTGGACAAGAGAGGTTTCGTACCATAACCACAGCGTACTATCGTGGAGCAATGGGAATTATGTTGGTGTATGATGTTACAAATGACAAAAGTTTTGAGAACATTAAAAACTGGATTCGAAATATAGAGGAAAACGCGTCTGCAGATGTGGAAAAAATGTTATTAGGTAATAAGTGTGAGCTTACAGACAAGAGGCAAGTGACTAAGGAAAGGGGCGAGCAATTAGCTGTCGAATATGGCATTAAATTTATGGAAACTTCGGCAAAATCTAGTATCAATGTTGAAGAGGCTTTTTATACTTTGGCACGTGATATCAAAGCAAAAATGGAAAAGAAATTGGTAAGAAAGCACGTCAATTTATACCATATATACACTTTATTAAAATTAAGAATATTATGCTTATTATATTCAAATATAAATTATTCACTGATCATTGATATTCATATTTCACAATGTGTATATAAAATCTTTTACATTTTAAAAACTTGCTATATAAATGCTCAATAAATAGAGTAATATATAAGTTAGAAATGCTTAATTATATATTCTTACAATACTAAATTGAGCATTAATTTTAAATAAACACAAACATATTTCTTATATTACAAAATAACCACTGTTTCTGTTTCCTGTCTCTGTGTTTGGTGCTGGTCTATCTTGGCAGAAGGTAACTTTTCGTACACTGTTTTTAGTCTCTAAATTCTATATATATATATATATATATATATATATATATATATATATATATATATATATATATATATATATATATATATATAGCATTGTGATCATGTTCAAATCATTGCATATTTTATTTTTAATCTATTGTGGTTCTTATCTTTTAATTTATTTTAACAATATTACATATGCATACATTTCTGTTTGATATGCCTGCTAGAAGGATATTGACTTTATGTTAATTAACATATGTATATTATTTAAGAAAATACTTTTCATATATATTAAACAAATGGACTTTGCACCTTTGATATTAATTTCAATCCATGCTTTTGTGTGTGCATGTGTGTGTATGTGTGAAGAATAAAAAATGCATTTTTTATGTTATTATTATGTTATAAACACTCTAATCTTGTTTTACATTTAATTTTATATTACACTACTCATATTAACATATTTCACAATTAATGCTTCTAATAATATTATTTATTTGTAATAATATCCATTGCATGTGCTTTTATTTTCTTAATATTTATATACATCTACATTTTAATAATTAAAACTTTATGTTTATTAATAAGAAGCAACATTTTATCTGCTTTATGAGCAAATAATATTAAAAATATGTTGTGAGATTATTATGAATAATTTTGCATTAAATGTACAATGTTAATTATATATTATAAAACAACAATGTTATGTTATGAATCTCAGAGTCATGTTCTTTTATTTTCTGCAGGAAGCATCGAATCCACCGAAAGGCGGTGGTCATCAATTGAAAGCTTCAGAACCACAGAGGAAGCCACCCAGTTGGCTCGCACGTTGTACTATACTCTGACCCTTCAAATATTTTCAATTGTTCAGCGAGAAGACACATCTATTTACTATCATTATTTACTTATGTTCATTTCGTCGAACAAAACCAATGTTTTGTGAAACTTTTCATGTCCCAAGTATTGGACTTAGTGGGTTTACTCCTTGACAATGAAAGATTCACAATTGTATTAAAAACTCAGAAACTATTTGCATGTATTTTTTGCCGAAAAACCCTCAGAGGAGAAAATATACATATTAGAATTTTCTATTTTGTTGTACATAAAAAAAACAATACATTTTAATAAAACCAATATTACAATTTGCGCTCTCTAATTTGTTAATCATTATTCATTATATTTAAACGAATTTATGTACAGATGATAGTTTTGTGATAGGTATATTAATTAGAATTAAATAATCTTATCAAGCTATTTCAAAAATTATGATGTAATTATTAAATCAGGTAAAAATTGCTATATGTGATATATTAAATACATTTCTCCTCTGATGTTTTTATACATATTCTATGGATATGGTCGAAAGATGGACTAGGACTGTAGCGCGGATTTCTTTGTGACAGTCGGCACAATTTTTTTATTGGAAAAACTTAATGTTGAGTATAAAAGTATATATTAATTTTATGGCAATGGGATATAAAGTATACATTTTTTCATGCACGCAAAATTTTGTACTGTTTCAAGATGATTTACGTCGTGTGTGTTTTTTTCGAGGACTATATGTCTGTAAGAATATACATAGAAACATACATCACACACTGTGCAACATCACATAGAATGACTAAAAATAAATAAATAAATAAGATTAAGCAGTATATAGGTATCACAACCGTTTTTATACTGTTATTAAGCAGATATAGCTTTTTCACAAAATTAACGGGAAAACAAAGTCTACTAGAGCATTAATTATGATGTAATTAAAATGCCTTGTGACGAATTGAACAAGAATTCTATAGACAATTTTGTTATATCACAGATAGTCATAGAATTTTTTATTAGGTCTAAGAAAAGAAAAACAAAGTTTGTTTTTCGATGGAATTATTATTTTATAGAGAGATTCACGTGTTTACGAGAATCTGCAGTAAAAAAAAATCTTTTAATCGCTGGTTGTCATAATATGCAAGTTTACATTTTTACTTGCAAGACTTAAGTTGCATTTTTACCATCAGAACTTGTTCAACTTATACTTAAATATACAAAACGATTATTATAATACATTTTTTATTAATCATGTATATATACATGTTTCAGTGTATTTATTAGTAGAAAATCCTATCCTGTCATTCATGTAAATGGTGGTAAATATTTATTTTTCAGATGAACATCGTATTTTCCAAGTTTGAATTCTACGTTTTGGACGACATCGAAGCTAGCATAGATTCCAAATTTTTAATTTTTGCTTCATTCTTTTGATGTATCGCGTGTGTGCACAAACCCACAATTTGTAAACGTTGATTAAGGTCGACAACCGCTTCACAGGATTTTTGCAGGTGTTGTTGCTCTTGTGAAAGTTTTGTGATTTTACTGAAATCAATCATGAATTTCATGTATGTATTAATAATTATTGTTAAAGCGGTATAAAATTAATTATTGCTTTATTATTGATATTGCCTTGTTGCAAAAAAATTAGAAATCCAATTGAAAAATCTGTCATTAAAATCAAGGTAAATCAAGACTGAAAATAAAATCACATGTATTTACGTGTATTAAAATGTACGTGTATGTATATTGAAAGTAAGATTATATAACAATATTATGTAAGATGTGATAGTTTTTATATATTTGTTATTTTAGATATATTTATATATTTGGTTTTATATATTTGATACTAATAAGATTTTTTTAGATGAACGCAACGCTCATCATGAGAATAATTTGCAATATATAATGGATCGAGACATATTTATTCTTGACGAGGTCAAACTTACTGATCGATAGCGGTAATAGTGCGCAAACTATCTTGTTCCAGTTCATTTAATGTTTGTACCAATATCTTGTTACTCATCTCTTTCTGACGCAAATTCTCCTCTAAGTTTTGAATTTTAATTTTGCATTCGGTCTCGCACACCTTCGCGGCTGTAGCTTGATTCATCAAAGAGTTGTATTGTTTCGCCATTGCGTCATATTTAACTTGTAATTGGACGCTCTCGACCTGATTTTTCATTTGCTGTTGTTGCAATTCGTTTATTGCATTCATAGCCGTTTTCAGTTGCATTCTTAACTCGTGAGAAGCCCTGCGCTCTTTCTCGAGTTCTAACTCCCTACTGTATAAAGCGTGACGAGTTTCCCGAAGTTCCTTCTGTGTCGCCTGCAGGGTATCCTGTAGTCCCGAAACGCATATGCATAATGCGAGATAATTTATATAAGACAGTCTGACGTAAATTGTCGCAGTAATTAAAGCTATTGCAAAAAGAGCTTACTTTATAATGAGATATATAATACTTTTTGTACAACTGTTTATGCATTTCATTCTATTTCCATTTCAAAAAAAATATCAAAAGAGATAGAAGTCGTGCATATATTTAAATTATTTTAAAATTTCAAACAAAAATTTTTAAAACAAACAATCCATTCTTTTTGTAACAAATTATAAAAATTATTCAAATGTGCTTTTTAGAATGTATGATTATTTGAAATGTTTAATTCCTTTGAATGTATCGAGATATGTTGTAATAACTTTTTCATACATATCATCGTTATCTTTTACGTTTCTATTTAAAGAGAGCGAAATCTACAGATTATATATATATATATATATATATATATATATATATATATATATATATATATGTATATATATATACATATACATATATAGGTTCGTATAAAAAGGCTAAAGGTATATGCTTCAAGTGTTAATCAATATAACAGTCGTATTCACCGTATTATTTTGCAGCTCGTATAACTTTTCTTGAAATTGTCGTTCTAATTGAGAGATATCTTGTACGTTTGTCTTTATATCATCCATGATTGCGATATCATCTTAAAATATAATTATTAATTTATAGAACACATCTGAAGAGTTCTCTATTTTGTAATTTTTATGTAGTACCAACCACACATTGGTCACCAACTTCAATTTGAAGGCAGCAAGTGGCAGAGGTTTTTGAATTAACTTCCAAGGATTTGAATAATAAATTATAATTACATATATAATGCTAAATATAATTAAAGTATTAATGGAGATTTACACGAGAGATTTGAAACTTTTTTTGAATATGTAATATTTTTAAATCTTATAAATTTTAATCGCATTTGAAATAGCACTTGCATTTTTGCACTGTACTCTCATTTTTCATGTTTAAAATATACTCGTATAATACATGAATATCTCTCAATTTTCTATTCTTATACATTCTTCGTATCGTTGTATGAGATTTCTAAAAAGAAATAGAAAGATAGGTCATACAGATACTTAAAACGGGAACAAAATGATTTCGATCTTTCGTAATAACACTTCTATATAGGGTGCCTCATTTCTCCTAGGTTTTTTACATTTATAATCAACATTCAAAGAATTCTTTCATTAAAATTTATTAATATATAGTGAATCTCTAGATATATTTTGAATCATTTAATTTTATGATTTGGAGATCTATTAAAATTTAATTTATATAACTAAAGATTATTATAGACTATTAAATGCTTAATTATATATTTATATCATTTAGATGACACATCTAATATATTGAATATTCAATATATTATACATGTATGATAAATAGTACTATTAAATGCAAGTATTTTTCATGAGATATAAGAAGATTGCTCTAACTAAAATGTTTTTATTCATTATAAATATTATAGATCCAGTAAATAATGCATTATCACCCGGTATATTCACAGAATTACAGATGTGGCGCATGGATCAAATTGAGTTCGGATGTAAAAACGGCAGCGACAGAGAGAGGAAGAGAAACAGAGAGAAGGTACAGGGGTGAATCGCATGCGCATCCCTCGGAATAGCGAGTCTCGGCCACCCCCGCCGATTATGGATGTTTAGTATCGACGTTGTTGCTAGTGTGTCGTTGCTCACTCTCTCTCTCTTTCAGATTGCAAATTACAAATTTATAATTGCGTTACAGAGTGCAACAAAAATATCAGTGCCGTTTCGCGAGGGATAATGAGCGAAATCGCGAGATGGATGCCGGGATACATCGCGGAAATGCGATTACGTGTCCGTCTCGCTACCACGACCCTACATTAGCATCCCTCGTCATCATTAATCATGGTCCTGCGTGATCTACCAGGACACGAGCAACATGCCGAGCCACGATTATTCAGGAAAGACGCGTGCACGTGTCGCGGTGATAACGATTACGACATTGCTTCTGCTCACGCTGAATATCAAATGTATGGGTAAATATCAAGTGTCTTGCACGTAATATTCTAATTTAAATCCTGTCAAATCATTTTTCTCCGAAAAAATTACAGAGATATTAAAGAGTCAAGCTAAATTAATTAAAGCGCTTAATTAAAGTAATTAAAAAATGCGTATAGAATATCTTCGGATGTGTTTAGCATCGTGTGATTAATTTTAATTTATAATTAGCTCCATATTAATTTATATGTATGAAAATATATATGATTTTCTATTCGTTTAGTTAAGGCAATATTGAAGGAGTAGCACGTGCTATCCCTTGCTTCATGGTCAACCGCGCGTGGACCATGATAACAAAACCAGTTGTTTCGTGGTGGATACCACGAGATCTTAAATCGAATCGATTTTTAATTCGGTGTTCATCGCGCAAGCCGCTGTAAAACATGATCGATCTTCGGATGCTGTTGCGAGGGTGTGCGCGAGCGTGCGCGCACTAAAAGGCATAGTTTCAAATTCTCCGATTATTTATTGTGTGTAGTTGCAGGTACTGCCGAGAGCTTGCAGCGGGGATGCAAATTAGAAGGCCTTCACCCTCTCCTTATCGTTACCTATAAAGAGATTACCATATCTGTAAGTATATTCTTGTGTTTTCACTTATATTCTTATTTATTGATTGCGAAATTGTTATTTTTTTAAGTTTGATAATAGCAAGGAAATTTAGAAATATATAATGCAAAATTAAAAAGGCAAACAATTATCTGAAGATATAATTTTTTTTATTATTTATCAAACTATTTATACTTGCTGAAAAGAGTACTTATAATAAAAGCAAATAGACCTTTTTATTATAAATATTTCAAAGACGAAAAGAATTTTAATATAATTTTGTGAGAGCTACAGTAAATTTTCGAATAAAAAATATCACAATAAAAAATAAATGTTATAGGTAGACAAGATTACCGTACCTTACAACGAACGAATCACGGTGAGATGTCGAGAAGTAGGTAAATATAAGCTCATCGGCGATCCTCTGTTACACTGCCTCAATGGTACATGGAACGGGAAGATACCTTATTGCATACCTACCACGGCCATTTCTAATTACAGTGGTACGTAATTAAATAAAATAATATCGCGAACTTATTTGAAATCCATCTAGAACACAAAGATTCATCTAATAAAGACCTTTTAATTATTCAGAGATATTATAATATTGTTAATTGCTTTTTAATCATAGAAAGAATATTATGATCTGCATGGTATCATTAGAGAAGACTTTTAACGAATCTTCTTTCTTATTTTAATTCCTTGCAATTAACAGAAAATGTACCACCGACCATCGTATTCGGTCTACCAGCCGGTTCGGCCGCCGTAGAGCCAACTGGTGCCCTCGCCGTCTTCCCAGGAAGTATTCTGCATCTGGAATGTCTCTTTGCGAGAAAATTAGGCAATCCTGAATGGACATGGACCCCGACTGTTCGCCGGTATCTGACAGGTAAATCGTAAGAGCTAAAAATTGTTATAAATTTAAAAAAACAAATATATATATTGTCACATTTTTATATTATTGATTACTTATTTTTATGTCTAAATCTCTAAATTATATATTTTTTAAATTTTGCTATTGAAAGATAAGAAAATATAATTGTAATATATTTTAAATATAAAATTTATATTTTATTCACATACTTCTAGGATGGGCAATCGCTGCACGGGAAAGAGACTGGAAATATCGCCTCTCAATATATTATGCCAAGCATCAGGATTCCGGAGTATATACGTGTTCTACGCCCAAAGGATTATCCAATTCTATACGAGTTCGTGTCATAGGTACGGTCACAAAATTCTAAAGAGAATATATAAAAAAAACCATAACGTCTACATAAATGCTTCTTATTATAGAATGTGTTGCATTAATATTAACCATCTTCAGTAGGAGACAATAAAGTTCTTCAAGTGTCTTATAATTTTAATTTTTTTTGCAGATGTTCAATGTTCGGTATTGGCCGTTCCTGAACCACCGTTAATTAGTCGTATCGAAGGTAGCCGAATAGGAGATAGTGCAATTTTTGAATGTCCAATGGGTTTTAGATTAGAGGGTGCTTCCGGCATTACATGTCAATACAACGGTATAAAATAAACGCGCTTTTTCGATAAATATTAAATTTAAATATTATAATTAGATATAAAATTATATTAGAAAAAATGTTCTCTTTACAGGTAAATGGTCGGCGAATGTGCCACATTGTGAAGAAATCGAATGTCCAGCGATAGATATCACAGATAACCCATTATTGAGTTTGATTGAGCACAATAACACTTATGGTGGAGAAGTTGTTTTCACTTGTATGTGGGGACATAAGCTCTCTGGATCGCAGAGTATAAGATGCGAAGGAAATGGCAGATGGAATGGATCTATGCCAACTTGTCTTGGTAAAATAATTTTTAGAGATGATCAATTTTATTAAGAAAAAAAATCATTTCTTTATATTATACTTTTAAATGTGAATTTTATTTACAAATATTATTTAAATGTCTCTTTGAAAGATGACTGGAAGATTTTAAGCATCTGAATTTTAAATATTAGATTAATCATAATCAAATTTTAATCATAAAAATGTAATCTTGAAAAAGGATTTTAAATTTCAATGAGTTTTATTATATCACATTATCTAATCCATCTCAATAAATCTTGCCAGAGATAATGTAATTAATAAAAGGTGACGTTTGCAGAAATTACTTGTCCAGTACCGGAAACGCCACGAAGTGGACGCATCATTGAGCAAACGCGAATCTCTAACAAGAAACGATATCGCGCTCAAATATACAAAGTCGGTGCTTTAGTGAGATTCGCTTGTCTACCGGGTCATCAACTGATAGGGGAAGGATCCATCATATGCACAGAAAACGGCACCTGGTCTCACCGTCCACCCGTATGTAAGTGTCCTTGTAACTAAGTTTACAATATTCTTTTTTTTTAACACTTCAAGTTCTATTGGTAATCTATTAAGTCAGCTTTAATTTAAAAAAATGTATAATATAATTTAGAAAAAATTGTGTCAATATTGTTCTATAAATCTATAAAAAATGATTTTATAGAAATTAATGTAATATTATTTTTTATATGCAATATGCTTTCTCTTGAAAATTATTTTTAAATTTTTTAAACAATAAATACTCATCCTCATCAATTTTGTGTGCAATATTTTAGGTAAAGTAAGGTGTCCTTATCCAGGTGATCCTCCTCACGGTCGAATCGCGCCTCTCAAGTTTTGGTACAAACCAGGAGACAACATACAGGTAAAATCCACATTTAGTATGTAATTATATAGATCAAAATAAAAAAGTAGTTAATTAGACTTTTAAAAATAAATTGAGTATAATTCTGGAATTTTATATGGATAGGTAACGTGTTCGCCTGGCTATGTGACTCCCTTGGAACCAGTGAAGAAACCATCATGTCGAGAAAATGGTATTTGGAGCGCACCACCACCTCCCTGTCGATCTTACAAAGAGGTGTGAATGTGAAAAAATTCGTTGGAGTACTCTTGTGAATTTTAAGGGCTCTATCGTGCTCTTTTTATCTTTTAACAAGAAAGCACATTTGATATTTATTACGGGTAGCAGATGCGTATGGCTAAGAGAAACGTGAAAAAACAGTTGCTTTGTTTCGAACGATAGACATGCTATATAAAGTTAATGATCATCTTATCAGATGATAAATATAGTTGCAGTCATACGAACCGACAAATAATCACGAATAGATCACTGAAAGGAAGCATCTTGCGTTAAACGTAGGCCACAAAACGACCAGTATTTTATTTATAATTATCTTCCAGATATACAACGATTTTAATAAAAATAAATCCCTTTTTAATAATAAATATTTTCTCACAGTTATTTCTATTTGTTTAATATCGAAGTGCAATACTGTGTATTATCTTATATACATACATATATATATATATATATATATATATATATATATATATATATCTTTCTAACCGAATAGATATTAAACAAGTACTAAAGAGTTAGCGACATAGTTACCGCTCTCGTTGCCATAATAACTATAATATGCAATTAATTCAATCGAATAATGACAGTTATCTCGCGTGCAAATGATGTGACATTTAATATTCGATGCTACAGTCCATCAAAGATCAAGGAGCATCGGAAAAATGGGTCGAACGAAAGCTCCCAAAGAAATACAGTTAGAAACATGGCTTATCAGGGACAAAATAAGTCGATATCGTGGAATTCTAAAGTTACATGGTTAGCAATAATTAAAGATTATCATATAATCAATAATTCTTTGTCTCGCCAGTGAATAATAAATAAATAAACAAATTTTCACGACCCAACTGGCATAAAAATATCTTTATTGTTACTAAGACATGTTATTAAAACAAGATTTGTCTTGTGAAGATTTGTTTATTTAAAGATTATCAATTTTTTAATACGAATCGAAATAAAAATATATCTTCTATTTCTAACTGCTCCAGATAATGATAAGTGAATTAGCAGAGGCTTTATTTTAGTATCACTTCTTAATAGCGCATTTTATTCTTCAAAATTATGTATAAAGACTATATATAATTATATAAAAAGATCGTTATAATTGATTTAATTTTCTAATTACATCTGAATATATTTAATTTCGTAATATATCTAGCGCGCGATAAGAAGCTGCAGCTGTCGCAAGCTACAAAATTGAAATCAATAGTGTCAAGGAAGATCGCGTCTTTGGATGTAGACGTTAAAAGAGATCGTGAAATCATCACCGACTTGAGGGATGAAGATAAACAACGTGTACTGGGATCGCTGGCCGACCACAACCGACTATTTTATTTGGCGTTTAATCGTCTGAAACCATCTGTAAGAATAGATCAACATTGTCTTTGAATGTTCGAAGTAATCCTAATGTTTTTTAAAATCTACTAAAGATATCTCTGAAAAAATTATAATACACGAATATCTCGTCTCGCAGCAAATTTGCTCGGCGGTGTATGAAGATTGCGAAGTGAAACGTCGTTTGTTAGACAAACTTTACTACGAGAGAAAGAAAAAATTGCAACGAGGTATTGAACTACAGGTACAACTTGATTTTTACACAATATAATGTATCTATTATTTATATGGTACATCTAATAGTAGCTATAGGTAAATATATCTATGTACTCAATGAAATAGTATTTTGTTCACAACGTTTCACGTAAACCTTGAGCTATAGACTAAAGATTTGTTCGTTTGCTCTCGCGGATCAGTCGAAACGTTGTGTTCTTTTAACCGAGCTCGAGGAACAAAGTGAGGAATTACCGCACTGCGAACAACAAAACTTGATAGCGAGATTACAGCAATCCATCACGAAATATGACGCGGCGAAAGCGATATACTCCACGTACTTCTCGATGTTAAATATCTTGAGGAAGGTAACTTCTCTGTGCTAGGTCATTAAATATACTCTTATTTCCTCTGAATCTTTATATAGGACGCGATATTCTTCGTTACTCTGTTAAATAATTTAAAAGAAGATCAATCTTCCCAATGTAAAGCGATGTTGAGGGTGACGGTGATGGGTCAGCTGGCGGCCGAGAATCTGGACGACGTTAAACAGAAATATAAACGAATGACTCGTATCGTTTTGCATAATATGAAAATCAGAGAGCAAATGTTGAGCACCGTACGCTGTCAAGTGGAAGATTTGTGGGCTTACGCACAGTCCTTGGTTCGCATTGAGGTGAGTAATTATAAATAAAATTGATCCACCAAGATCCTGTTGTTTATCTTCTTTTGTAAAATTTATAAAAAGAGAGACAACGTTTCTGGATATATATAAAATTTTGATTACAAAAAATCTCTAAATTAATTATGAATTTATAAATTAAATTATATTTATAAAGAATTATAAATTATCTATAAATTAAGAATTATATAAATCTCTATAAATTTATAGAAAATATATAAATTCTTTATAAATTTTAATACAATGCATCTTGTACAATCCTATAATTATTGAGTTAAAATATATACTTTTTTCAATAATGACATGTAACGAAAATAGACTTAATAGAGTGTTTTCTTGTGATAATTTACAGAGTGACCATATTTTTGCAAAAAAAGATACCAACGCATCTGCCGATAAAATATTAGAAAATCAATTAACGCATCTAGAAAGTATTTGCGTTAAAGTACAAGAAACTTTACTCGTGCGCTCTTATTATGACTTATTATCAAGGTATTATAAATATTTTGCAAACACACTGTTTATATATTTCCTGTATAAATGTTATACAAAAATTGATTTTCTTCCTGTAATTAGGCTTGAAACCCAATACGAGCAGAAGAGAGCTTTGCTGGCGCGATTAGATGCCAATTTAAAGAATCGCGATCTTTTGTTAAACAAAAAGAATCAAGCTTTACAAATTCTCGAGAATCTCAAGCATTTTACAAAACCTGCAGCAGAACAGTAATTAATTGTTATACAATGATAAAGTATTGAGCAAGACTATAATAGAAAATAAATTTATCTAAAATTATATCAATATATCTTTTTAAACATATTTTAACTTTTTTATATTTAATATTTTTTGATGGATTAAAAAATCTCAGGTATAAAATAAACGGTATACACGATATGCTGGAACAAATCGAAATTGAGAAGAAACGCGAGAAAGATCTTAAAGAACAGAAAAAAATTCGCGGCGAATTATTAACAAATATCAGAGCAGCTTTACAAAATATGAACATGATGCTGCTCCGTATCAAACATAGCATCAAAATTGCGAAGAAGATACACAAAGACGTGAATAAGAATATGCTGAAAGAAAGTATAATCATCAACGATAAAGAAGATTCGGAAGATATGCTACTTGAACTTGAAGGAATAGACACTGATGGTAAAAAAAATATGTAATAATTATTTAAAAAATTGAACACAAACTCTTTCTCTCTCTGTACAACTTCTATTTGTTAAAACATCAAGTTACCAATTAAGAGCAATTTATTCATTCTGATTTTGCAGTTTTGGTACTGTTATCAAAAGTTAGTCGGAAAATAGGCATTCTCTTCGGTATGAGCAACTTTGATCTCGAGCAGGAAAAGGAAAATAGAGCGCGGGATCTCTATCAAACTTGTGTATCGAAATATACTTCCAATTTGATATTCGGAACTGGTGAAGAAGAACCGATTGGTAAATATTATTATTATATATTTTACACATTTTTATCTAACATACCAATAAGCTGTCATTGTTCAATATCCATATAAATCACATAATTTTACAGGACTATTGGTTGACCATGAGGTGGTTGACGTCACTATTCCGACACGAACAGACATCAAACTCCGTAGCAGACAAATTATAGAGGCACATCTGAAACTGGAATAATTTATCGTGTCAAATCTATCATAATAAAACGCAAAATAATTTTTGTTTACTGTAAGTAATGCATTTACCATTTTATATCAATCTAGTATTCGATAAGATCGTTAACACGACCCTGTCCTCTCAACTTCTTTGTTATCTCAAATTTCAACCAGGAAGGCCTGTATTTATACGGATTATGAGCCAATGGGAATTTCAGTGATGGTTCTGGTCCTTTAAAAGGATGAACTTTCTTTAACTTTCTCAATAAGAACTCTTTCTTTATCTGCTTGGGATCGCGGTATTTATCCAAATAAAGATTGAAAGGTTGTTTTAAGGGAAAGTACACCTGTTTTCTTATGTATGGTTTAGGAAAATCATATTGAAATATTGGCATTCTTGTTTTTAATGTGTTATAATAGAATTCCTTGAGGGAGAGTTCCCAATCTGATTGGAAAAATGCTAAACCAGCAGGTGTCATTTGATCTTGATGTTTTCTATAAAAGTCCAGAGTTTTCCAGTTACGTTCCTTCAGATTCAAACAAGGCTTTTTCCTCTTATATTCTGAGAAATCTATGCGACAATCCTGTTTGTACAATACAAAGATATATCTGCAGTATCCAATTCCATATGGTGCTATTGGTCTCAAATAATCCACCAGTTCTTCTCCTTCTTTCACACGATTACCAGGAATGTTGCCAATAAACCAATGACAATATTCATTGTCTGGACTAGTCAGATTCCCATCCGGTGTTGTCATTATCAGAGTCCATAGCGATCCATCCTCTGCATCATATTCTATGTTAGGTGCATTGGACGCCTCATTCGGCTTGATCACATTACCAGTATAAACTTTGACCAATTTATCATTTTCCAGCTCGTAGCTTATATCTAACGGAACAGTCGGCATAAAGTAGGCATCTCCATACAGGTGTTTGTAGACATCATAGTGTTCTGCTATTCTACGAATGTGGAAAGAGCCGTCAGTTTGCAACCAGTCTTCTCGCATTTTTTGCATGTCTATCGATAGCTTCCTGGTGCGCGAGGCTCTTTCCAGGTCCGGATTTCTCCTAATCGCGATAATATCTTTCATCCAGGCGTTCGTTATCGTTCGTCTGTCAACTTTGGACACCGGGAAACCGATGTCCACCTTGAAACTCAACGCTGAATCCTCTCGCTGGAGTCGGATCTCTTCGAGACGTTGTTGCAAACTACGTGCGACCGTTGGTGGTTTTCCACGCATCCGATGACCATGACGAACGTGTTGACTCCTCGGAATTAAAAGATCATTGACCAAACGTCGAAAGAGTTTGATGGACATGTCGCGATATTTTACCGAATAGTTACGAGGATCAATGACATATTCTGTTTTTTACTCCAGCAGCTACGAGAATTTGACAGGTCAGAATTTTTTTTTTTTTTTTTTGTAAATATTTAATGTGAACGAATTTAGTCCAATTGTAATTATTTAGAGACAATAGGTCAGAATTAGGTTATATTAGGTTAAGAATCGCATGGATACAAAATATTCCGTCAAGCATGAACTACGAACATACAAGATCGATCGTCGATCATTGAAAAGCAGACAGGAACTTTAGGTTCGAAAGCGCGGTTTCATGCAAACGCGGCTTAATTTTCTATATCTCTGCAATCAGCCGGCAGAGCTGATGTCAGTGACGTAAAAAGAAAAAAAAGTAGTGAAACCGAAACCACCCAATCGCGCCCAACGCACAGTCGTTTATCACTTTTCAGAGTCGGCAGGATGCCTGGTTTTTTGACATTCTGCCGATTGTTTTCCTTTTACGTCACGCGTCCTGGCGTTTCGTTTGTAACGAGTTAAATATTTGTCACGACGGGCACATCCTCTCGATTATATCCATTGATTGATATCTTTCATGTCGCACGTGTGTCTTGTCGGTTTCAAATTGATTCGATCTGATAATGTAACGAGGATGTGTAGTTTTTGGAGAACGGCCGTAATAAGAAACTCGTTTGATTTTTGACAGAAGTTTTTCTATTCATCTCTACAAACAAATCCCCGCGATAGTGTTATGGATTTTCGTGGATTTTGGCGCTAAATATAGCATTGACAAGCATATAGCGTGAGTGTAAATACTTTTTTGTCATCGCCGCTTTTACTTTATCTTCTAATCGTGTCTTAATCTTTTAGTATGTCGCAATGCTAATGGCAGCGAGAGGGGATCTCGGGAAACCTACCTGTAAAAATGGTATGCATGTTTTTTTTTTATGGTCTTTCGTTTTGTACAAAGACAAAATTATTCTTGAATTTCTTGAATTAATATGTTTTATTGATTAATTAAAATTAACATACTCGTAAATCTTTTATGACAATTGCAGCAAAATGATATTAGGAAATATATTTATATATTTGATAGTCACACATCTTTCTTTTTGCTCTTACAAATCATAAATATACATTTTAAATAAATGTATCTTAAAGCTAATTTTAACAACACTTCCATTATAATTTTATTTAAATTAAATAACTCGTTTAGTTGTTATAGAATTAATATAGAATAATCATGTTGCAAACAACATATAACATTAACTAGTTTTCTAAAGTTATTTCTCAATTTTCAGTACATAGAAGATAAATAAACTGAAAACTGTAAATATGATGACTTGATTGCCAGAAAGTGCAAGATGAGATTCAATAAGCAGGAACTATTAACTCTGGCCACGCAGCCTTCACAGAAATTCGAGAAAGAGGGTGTCCTGTATGTGAGAGAACGGCAAGAGGGCTTCTTTCGCAGAACAGAAAGTGAGTTAAACTATATCTACATGCAAACACTAAATATTTTTTTAATTAGACCAATAGCATTATCTTAGCATACAAAACTAATGCATGATTACTCTTATTATATTATATGTCTTGACAATACTTATATGATGTATGAATTCTTTATTTGATGTTTAATGTACAGCCTGTTTATCTTGTTTAGATTGTTAATATAAAATATGTTATGACTAAAAATATCATGAGTAAAAAGCTGCATTTAAAACTTTTAATAAAATATGTTATGACTAAAAATATCATGACTAAAAGGGTTGCATTTGAAACTTTGTTTTAGTAAGAAAGAGAAGATAATGTTTTTATTTGTTAATATCATTTAAAATATTTTTAAATTTACTAGAGCTTGTTTAACATTTAAACATATATCAATAGTAAAGAGATGTATTAAATGTATATAAATGTAATATTAATAGGTATGACAGAATTTGTTGCACGAAGTAGATTTTATCAGCTCCCATAAATCGCGTCCTATATGAATCGTGATAACAGCGAAGATATGATAATTCATACTATCTCTCTCTGTTCTTTTATATGGTATGGCTTTGCACGAAATATAAAACATATGTTTTGAATAATATCAGCATTTTGTGAAAATATTAAGAGTAGAGAAGTTTATTTAATTATTCTTTTTTTTTTATAAATTATACATTATTCTATTTCTATTTCTTTATATGCAGTTATTTTAAATATTAAAATAAAATCATAATAATTTAAATAATATACAAGATAAAATATTTAAAAATATGTTGAATAAAATTTCAATTTTAATTAGAAGATATTTTCATCATTATTATGATGTATAAAATACATAATCCGGTTAATTATGACCACTAAAATATATTTTATCGTTTCAATCGATATAATTGTTAACAATCGATGACAATTAAAGACAATTTATATTAACGAGATATTGAACCGATAATAAAAAGATCGATAAATTCTTATTTCATTTTTACGCAATTAGTCATAAATAGATTCCCCCTGACATCGATGCACAGAAAAGATAAATTATAAATAATATTCGCCTTTTTTCCTTTATTGGGAAATCGTTGTGTGTGGCAGCTATGAGTACCTCGTGCAATTTCCACAGGTAAAAAACCCGAGAACAAAAATCAGAGAAGAAGGTCGCATAAGAGTCTACGAAACCTCAATTGCGTTACAACTGGCGCGAGCAAAGGTACTTTAATCCGAGTACATCTTGAATATATACGTACTTTTGCTATATATACGTACTTATTTGAAATCTTTCTCACGCTCCCGTCACGATTTTTACACAATTAACACACTCTTTAACGATCCGATTAATCTTTATTAACATGTGTAGACGTTTTCCTCGACACTTGCAAAAGTAATTTGACACACGCTTTTATGAAATTAATCTCGCATTTCGTTGATTGCATATTAAAAACTGGTTGAAGGAAAATTGAATAAATAAACTGGATATTAAACTTTTAGCTCAAGCTTAACAATAAAAGATTTTTCTTATAATTTCTTGCATTTAATATGCATGTCAACTCTAATGTCTCTTTCTATCAAGTTTATAATTAACTACTTTTTCATTAGCTTTTTCACTATTTGATGACATAGCTGATTTGATGTTTGATTACATGCGTATTTATATTAAACTCTTGATTCTCGATTTACTAAAATGCATACAAATTTTTTAGAATTAATTCTTATTGATTAATATCTTGTAATTAATATATTAATTAATATATTTATAGTAAAATATATTAATTAATAATTAATATATTTTACTTGGCTTATATTATACGTAATTAAATGTACTTAAATTATGTTCATCAATTAATACTTGAATGTATAATAAATATAATTCTTCTTAATAAAAAAATGAATTAAACGCAAAATTTGCATTGTTTATAAGACATAAAAAAACTCGCTTTCGGCGAATCGAGAATTAATTGCATGTGGAATGGAATGGAATGCTTTGCATGTTTCATATAGCTGTATTCCGACAGAAGCTTCATATATAAGAGGGAAAATCGTAGCGGTTTATAATTCACAAATATTTGCGTCACGAGACATATTAATTACATAATTATATTGCATTAAATTATACATATATACATTTTATAAATTTTAATCCAGAAATAAACATTTTTAATATACATACTTATGCAATATATATCTATATATATTAAAAAAGAACATATATAGGAATCTTGATTTGAATGTGTCGCGAATATTCGTGATCACTCAAGATCGCATTGATTTTAATAAAGAGGATGAGAAGGGAAGAGATTAAGGCCATATATAGCGATGTGATAATGAATCGTATAAGGGCAGTAAATCCCACGAGAAAACGTGTCCGCTCTCGAAAGGGCGTGCCTTCAAGATTGAATATGTCATGTGTTGTTCCAAATATAGAAATATCATAGAAATATTTTATATAAAATTAAATGCGAAAAACGATTTATAATACAAAGCATTTATTTTAACGCTAATCAATATTTATATACATATAAATTTGAAGTTTGAACGCTGCAACAGATCTACTTTTACTTTTAATAGCTTTTACATTCTCATTTGGATTTATTATTATTATGTATCTTCGAAGATTTAATTGTCGTTACTAATTATCACAAAGGATTAAATAATCTCTCTGTTCTTCTTCTTCTCGTTCTATCCTCTGTCGCTTGCTAGCGTACGCGGAAAAACCACCCTAACAAAATCTTCCAGCGTACGAACGGTTGTGCCTAAGCCGCTGCTCTTCTGCTTCTGTTGTGCAGTAAGTCTCGAACGATGGTGCAGACTGCGAGGCAATCTTTTGTTCTATTTCAAATCGCGAGAGCAGTGGTCGGAACCGCTGGGGGTGATCATATTGGAGCAGTGCACTGTTCGCGTAGATCCGCCCAGCAATCACGTCCCTTACGGATTCAGCATAGGCAAGTATATTGTCATCCGCAGAACCTATCTTTCTTTTTTTTTCTTTTTTTTCTGATGATGCAACGGTGCATCGACGACACGTCCGTCGTCGTCATCATTTTGCATGTGTGCACGCGGTTTCAACGTCAAAAGCACAGAGGGAAACGTGTTGCAGTTTTCGACGGAGGCTTGTTTCAACAGTTAGGCGCCAATACGGCCGAAGAGAGGGACAGTTGGTTGCAAGCATTGCAGTTGGCCAGTTACGAGTGCATGCGAAGTCAATTGCTATCGTTGCGACAGCGCATCGAGGCCTTCAGCGAACACAAGCACGACACCGACATTCAAATGTTGCGATTGCAACGTGGGACTTTCACAGGTTGTGCGAGAATACTGAAAGTAGAATTTTTTTGCTTGGAATACGCATACTAATATACAAAAAAAATAACTGAATAAAATAACATAGTTTAATTAACATGTTCTGTAACACATTAATTATTAATTGGGATTATAAGGTTGAATGTATAATTTGTTTATAATATTAAATATTATTTAATAGATTGGCAAAAAATTTATCTCAAGATTAAATTTTTAAAATTATTTAACAAAGCTTTTATATTTATTGTTCAATTTTTATTAAGAAGAGAAAGATATCGACATGATACTTGTTATAAAACAGTTGTACTATTCAGTTTTGTATTTTTATAAATAATGTTGAAACGTAATGATCCATAATTTAATATATATATATTATTTTCTCAGATCCGGCGGAAGTACCAATGTGCGAGATATCGCTAGCCTGCGATAATTTATTATGCGATGGACACGGCCGTCCACCTACTCCCGTTTTAGAAATAGATGTGCAATCGAAATCTTCCAAAACTTGGATTAAGTATGCACGAACGGAAGTTGTTGAGGTAACAACACAAAAAAGTATTTAGAATAAAACTTTTTAATTTATTAAACAATTTGCATAAACGTTCTTTCATTAATTTCAGCGAAGTAGTAATCCAAATTTTTTAACTACGGTAAGCTTTCGAGCTAGCGATGGCTTGACTACTGAAACGAGAATTAGAATAACCGCATTTGACGTTAGGGAAAGAGTGAGTCAGACCGCAACTCCGATAGGAAGCGCGATAGTTACATTCAGCACAGTACAAGATACTCCAAGGTAATTGTATTATCTGTATATCGCTATTGAGAGAGAATAAAAATAAAATTCTGTAAAAAAAGTAAAACTTTTAAATAGGATTTTTAATTTTATTTCTAAATTGAAAATTTATATTTTAAGGAATGTATTATAATTTTTTTATTTATTAGCTTTCTCTTATTTAATTATTCATTTTTAACTCTTTATTCTTTGTTGGTTTTAGATTAAGGATACCATTAAAGTCTGCGAGAACAACGACAGTCGGATTCTTAACGATTAATGTGTGGAATTTGGAAGCTGAAGATAAAGGAAATAGTACAGAAAGTACACCATCGCGGAATGCAATATACAGTAGTAACAATCAACAACAGGTAATTAATTTTAATCAACAAGTGCCTTAGATAAATTCGTTTTTATATTACTATTATATAAAGATACAGACGTCAAATTTCATTCTAATCTTATATTTTTATGTAATTCTTTGCAGCTGCCTTCGCACAGGCGCTCCCAATCGTTACCTCCAAGACTAGGAACAAAAATCAAGTTTCCACATCAAGGCCAATTAAAACTTCTCTTTGCAAATCCATTTGTACAGACTTATAGGCAAGTTTCTGCACTTTTGACAATTAGGATCAATTTAATTGATGCGTTTATAGCTATAAACTATGCGAATATATTATGCATAGATTTCACTCCGGACTAGGCGGTGATATATGCGTACATGAGATTATGGCGGAGAGCAAACTTTGTTTCCAGTTTCCTCAGCATTTATTGTAAGTGTATTTCATATTGTTATATATATTATGAGCATAAAATTGCGAAGGAAAGTAACGTAGTGGCAAATTTTAGGGGTATTTGGATACAGGAGGAAAAAGAATTGCTACAAGAAGTAGCCGGAATGGGAGAATTAAGGGAGCCTTGGCATACAAAACAAATCGAATTGCTCGATCGTCATCTTCATTTGTTACATCTATATTCTCAAGCCAAAGAAAACTTAGCTGCTTATAAAGGCAAGCATATTTTTATCTATATTTTTTTGAAGTTATTTTAATAAAGTTTATTTTATAAGCAAACAACAATATTAACTGTTTAAAATATATGAAAAAAGAAAATAAGATTTAGTATATTTTAAAAATATCTGACATTTTTACATTTGATGATTCAAATTTCAGGAAGTTATTTCAAACAATCGTCGCGAAAGAATGATCGTACTCTCGAATTCGCTCCTTTGAATTTGCATCTTCAAAGAATGTGGGTACACAACGACACTTTGAACAAATGCGGATTTTACGATTTTATTAGCGTAGGAGCGTTCACCGCTCATTCCCACAAAAGCAAAAATGGCGGACTTATAAGGTATATAATATAAAATTAACATATACACTTTTATCCAAGTCCAAGTGATTGCTAAGATACAATTATAATTGTTAATATATATATATTTTTTATTGCAGATTGGTGCAGGCACTAAAGGAGTCGCCCATGCGAAGTAATCAGCTCTATCAGGGAACATCCAAGATTACAATGGCACATGACGCGATCCAAGCGATCAAACAATTACGCCGGGACGTTGTAGAAGCAATGAGATCCTTGATGAAACTCGCCAAGGATAAGCAAACGAGCGGGATGCTGCCGATATGTGAGGATATGATTACGAAAACCAGGATCTTACTTAGTCTGTGGGATCCGGGCTTGGTGGAAGAGGCATTAACGTTTCTGGAAGAGTATAAAGTCGCGAAAGTTCAAGAAGATTCGACTACGACATCGACTACATCGGATGACACTTTGACGCTAGACTTCAGGGTTAATCAATCCTTATCACCATTCAAACGGATTACTCAACAGTTAAATTTTGATCTGAAGAGTCCCGATTTTGATGACTTCGTTACGCCTGATACTCCCGAGTGCGTGCAGGACATTTGGTCGAAAAGCAACATTAAAAATGGCGAATACGCTCCCATATCATACTCCAGAAACGAGGCGCCCAACAATAACGCCGGCGAGAGTGACGTTGTAGAAGAAAATTTTGTAATATTTCCGGATGTTGAGGACTATCCCAAGCAAATGGAAATAGAACAGATCGACGAGAATCTTCAGCGAAATTACGATAACGAAAAAAAGGAGGGTTATGACGATGAAAAGGAAGACTTGAAGAATGACGCCGATCCGTGCAAGCGTTTTCTAGATACCCAAAAGATGTGCAATTCACCGTCTGCAAATTATTACAAACCTACAGACGAACCGGAACCGTGGGATCTCACTCAGTTGAATATTGAGGCAAGCGTTATGTGCCTCGTGTCAAAAGTAAAGTTTCTTTGCGGCAGATGTAGCAGTCCGGCTGTACGACTACGCAACAAAGGTAGTTTAGGCAGATCGCAGAGTCTCAAGGGTTGTCTGCCGAGCAATCGACACAACGTCGAAGTCGTTACCATTCAACCAAAGAACGGTCTCAAGTGTGAGGAGTCGAACAAATTGCTGGACGAGTCGAACGAACAGCGGCAACAATCCAGTCCAGGATTAGAGAAACCAGCATTATCTAAAGCGAAAGAAGGTAAAAAAATCATATAATATTTATGAGTAATTTTTTATGCTTTTCTAGAAAAACCGTAGTAAAAATGTGCAACGTAATATGTATTATTAGGGATAACCGATACTTATTGTAACTCATCTTCCAATGAAGTGTGCCAAGCGGTCGACTCGATGACACGAGTGATCAAAAGTAATTCGGGACAGAGGAATAAGTTCACCGAGGGTCTGGACTTCGCGTCGATCGTCGATTGGACGAGTGAGCTGAGACCGAGCATGAAAAAGCTGCGGCAAGCTATGGACGGACTGTTAAAAACTGCCAGACTAACCCATTCGGTGTTTCGTGTACAGGAAGATTCGAAAGCGGCGCAGCGCGCGTGCAACGTTCGTTATAGAAGAGACGTTTGCTTCAGTCAAGCGGTAAATCTCTCATCAATCATCTAGCTTATTCCGCGTGGAACAAAGATATGTGAGAAAATTGAAGAATATTGCTCTTAACTTCTAGCTGACTGCCTTAGTGACCGGCATAATGGCGAAATTATGGTGCCAACGACCTGACCCGATGTTTTTGTTAATACTTACAACTCTGGGACCATTGGTTTCCTTCGAAGGCCTTCTTAGCTATTACGGAGATGAGATAGATATGTGGGGTGACATGGCCGTAGCTGTCGAAGACACGCACACCGTCACATTTACTCTGTCCAGATGTGGCATACAATCCAGGTAAAATAAGAATTTTAAAAACATTGCCATTTTTGAATTAAATTATTTCATAAATTTTATTTAAAAAAATATATATATATAAATATATAATTAATATAAAATTTATATATATATATAAATTATATGTAAAAAATCTTTATCTGAATGTAAATATTGCAGAATCGGAAGAAAAGCTAACACCTTTCAACTTCCTCTACCTCGTGTGGTAGGATCGCGAAGTGCGCTGACGGTGATACTTCCGGTTCCGGATGCGATTTACTCTCTCTTGCCATTAGTGCCATCCTCCCGACAAACGTTATCGTTCAATGTGACTCCGGTGTTTTTCAATATTGGCATTAACGAAATGGCTTCCTTGGCCGAGAGCCTCGGTACTACGAAACCGCAAGAGAAAAGCAATATGGATAACTTTGACAGGCTGAACGAGTATTACTTGAGATTTAAGAAATTGAATCTACCGACAGAACCTACATCTACGCGTTGTAAGTATAAAACTAATATCCATTTAAATAATTTTTTAATCTAATCTAACTTTGATGATAGATTTTAAAATTAATATATTCTTCTAGTTGCTGCTAGGTCGATCCTGGGTCATACTTTGTCGGATATGATAGTCAATTTAAAGATGTGCGTGCAAGAGAAAGTCAACAAGAATGTAGAGATCTTGCAATTATCTTCGCAGATATGTCGAAAAATGCGCGGTTTAAGGTTCACTAGTTGCAAGAGCGCGAAAGATCGAACCGGTATGTCGATCACTCTCGAACAAGTCAATATACTGTCGTCGGAGTATCATTTAGCCGAGGACGAGTACATGAGAGCCCTCGACTGCATGCGAAGGTAAGTGTAAAAAAAGGAAATATTTTAAAAGATATCTTTTCACAGAAAATGAGAACATTTGCATACATCTTTTAAAGATCTATATTATTATATTATTATGTAGATACGAAAGATTATATAACTTTGACTTTTTGCAAAACTATCGATTAATTGCAATCATATTTTTATGAGAGAATTTTATTCGCGATTCCAAATAATTGTTTGCATTGCAAATATAATTTTTCAAAAATTTATAAGTTTTATAATATATATTATTAATATATGTATAATATATATTACATTATAAAAATTTTATATTATATATCTCTTTCATAGAAAGTTAAATGTTTTGAATCACTTTTTTCATATTATTTGGGAATGTTGGAAATTTTGAATTATTCAATTCATGCGTTGCTCCGTGCTGTTTCAGCGAGGGCTGTCGCCGGGAGAATACGTGGAAAAACATAGGTGTACGCAAATACGCGTTTAATAGCTTGCAGATTCTAACGTTGCCCAGACTCTATAGACCGCCGACCGGCACGTACGGATCTGCTCAATCTTAAGGAACCCAATTAGCATCACGTACGCATATTATATTATGCGAAATTCAATTTCACTCTTTCTGGCTGTGTAATCACGGATTAACTTCCGTAGAGTATGTGCTAAGTATGTAGTACTTATTACAAAGTAGCGGAGACGTCGAGATCGTCGTTCAGGTAACGTGATTCTTTATAGAGAATTTATTGGGGACACGCGACTGGCACACGACTGGCACGTGTTAGGCATACGAAATGCAATCAGGAGCGTAGCAATAGGGGTAGCAGAAAAAAATGCTTCTAGATTTTCTCGTTGAATTTTTTTCTACGCATTCTAATGTTTAAGTAATTATTAGCTAATATAATTATAACTAAATAGAAATTACAAGTTTTGTTGTCGAGCCATAACAATAGCTATGCCCCTTCCTTTGAAAGCATCATGTACTAAGTACATTATTATCTAAACTTGCAACGCAGAGTAGACGAGAATATGCCGATAAATTAATTACGTAATATATAAATTAATTACAAGGTTGGCTGAAATTGCAGGAAGTGAATTGGATTAGAATAAAAACTCCCTCGTCGATTTTTTATTTTTCCACTTTTAGCTCTTAGGTGATTCTTCCAGTGTCATTAAATATAGCAGTTACTCTTCCATTTTTCGTTTCTATTTTTTTTTATGCAAGTGCAAGCTTTTAATTTTGATCCGATTCACATTCTTCTAATCCGCAATTGTTGGCGAGTTTTTGCAATATGCTTCGGATATCATAAACGCTAAACATCATTAATTCGATGCAAATACATTTCGTGAAAAATGTTGATATAAGTCATGAATTATCGCAATAGTTTTCATCTCACATTTGCATCACTGCACGTGATTTTTAGCGCTCATATTCGCAAAATACGATATTGCAAAAAGTCTTCATTGTACATGTATCTAATTGAATTTATCGTATTTGTTAAATTGTTATTTATGGGAATAAGTAGCCGGTGCCATCTTCTGCCATATAATTATTCACGCAGTATCCGAATAATATTAGCATCATTTGAAAAAGTCTCGTGAAATCGCGTACATGTTATTCGAGAATAAACGGCGTTGTATTTAACGGGAGAGCGCTATTCTTTCTCACACGTGCGTGGAAAAAATTATCGTGTTATATCCAACACTTTATCGTACAAAAGATTCCAGACACGAATAGACATATAGTCGTATTTCCATCACTCCAATTGAATAATCTACTAATGCGTTACCGTATCCGTAAATATAGACTCCAGTGGTAGATTCCAATGGATTGGAGATATATTGTTTTCAATAAATTATTAATTTTACCTGATGTCGAATCAACCGTGTTTTTTGTCCCGTTTTTAATTAAGCGTAGCGCAATATTAGCACAATAGAAAACCTCTTCCATATACAATATAATATCCAGTTAGCTAATTTTTTAGATGGACCACGTAATTGAACAGAAATCGAGTAAATAATTGAAAAATTTCTAACGAGAAAAAAACTTTAAAGTTACGAGGAATATCACTGAAAACAATTTAAATTATTCAAGATTTTTCGCAAAAGAAATCTCGCTCCGTTCGCCAGATGAGCTTATTATCCAGCACCCTGTATTTGTGCGATGCATTTATCATATCAAGATCCTATACGACGTATCTATTACGATCTCAGGACATGAGTGCAACGTGAAACAGGGTAGGGGCCGTATTGCAGGCGTGTGGGGGTATGGACGGCCGGCGCGCGAGACAATATATACCTGACGAGGGCCTGGTGTTACCGAACACCTGCTCCACACCGGGTCCGAGCGGACCTTTGTCCAAGGACCGATATAAAACTCGTACACCATTTCGGTCGCGCCAGTGGACTTTCGACAGGCGGTCAAGCGCGGTCCGACCATCATCGCATGCGGTTCGAATTGAACTTGACGAATCTCTTCGAAGATACAATAAATCTGTTCGTTATCTTGCTAATTAGCGGTGATATGCGGTGCAAATTTTTTGCTGAAGAAATTTAAGATCTCGAGATGAGAATTTGAAAAAAAAATGTGAAAATTTATCAGACTTGAAAATAAGAAAGATCAGTTATATAAATAGCAACCATCACATTTAGAAGATTTGTGAATTATAAAAAATATACAAAATATTCTCTCGAGGATTTAATAAAACAAGTTTCTCCCTCTTCGAGGGGGAATATATGAATTAGGAAATATAAAAATTCGAAGAATCGGAATTGGAGAATCCTTAGGAGAATTGAAGAATTCAGGACTTCAGGAGATGGCGAACGTACTGTGGCTGTTATCAGCGATTATCGTCGCGAACACGTTGATTGCCGGCACGTGGGCGGATGAGGATCTCAGGAGTACAATTAAGCTACTACAGGAACAAGTGAGCGCATTACTGGACCATCGACAGGAGGATTATAATGCTTTGGAGGAGAGTTTGAAGCAATCGATAGAGAAAAATACAGAGCTCATCGTCCTTAGAAACGAAGTAAAACAACTCAGGTGAGATTTACTATGTATTTTTTTGCATGCAGTATCGTAATATGAGATACATAAGTGTATTGAAAGTCGTCAAGTACATAATTAGGGTATCTGTTGACGACGAGAAGCCTTAGAATTTAATTGAAGTTTAAGGATTCGATTAGGTCAATTTTTTAATATTTTGTTAAAGGTGTTTTTCGTATTTTCTATATAAATGATCTATTATTCATTTTTTATAATATTTTAGTTTTTTATATTTATGATTGCTATATTATTTATGAATATTTTTGATGAAATAATTTAATTGTAACAGTTTAAAATTTATCTGAATTTTTATAAACAATAATTATCAAATAATTGATAATAAAATGTTGAGTAATATCTAAAACAATTTTGATAAAATACAAAATAATAAAAAATAAAAACATTTTATTTTCATTCTTAAAAATCACGATAGTCAGTCTTTATGGGCATGCAAAGAAAAGATAATAATGAGGTACCCCAGAAATATTATAATTAATATATTCCCTCGCACGTGCAGGAAGGAAGTGACCGCTCTTCGCGGCGGAAGCGGCAACGAGGCGAAGAACGAGCGATTGAGGGTGAGATGGCTCGGCAGTGCTGTGACGGAGCTGCAGAGCGAGGTCGCCGAGGTGCTCAGGACGCGGAACGCCAGCGAAGAGTTGGCCGAGCGTTCAAGGATGAGGAGCGAGTTGGCCCTACTAAAGGGTGACGTCTCCGAAGTCGGCAGGAGTATACGCGATCTTGGTGGCAGAATCACCAAGATCGAGGCTGTCCTCGGTACCATCAGACTAGACATTGCTGCTACCAAGGAACGCGCCAGTCTCCTATCTCGCTCCTGCGCGGATGTCAGCAGTCAGGTATGCTGGTTCTTTTCGCGAATGCTGGAGAATAAGATTAATATAAGAAAAGATGTCAGGAGCAAGTGGTAGCAATTTGCCACACAGTTAAAGCAAATCAAATGTGTAGAATGTAAAGAAAGCTTGAATATTTTCCTTATTTTGGAGCAAATTGGATTAATGTTTCAAATTGCCAAATATTTTAGATAATTGTATTTGTTATTATAGTTATAATCTGCGAATCAGATTATATTTTATATACGTACAAGCTACAAGATAATCTTATTTAAGGATACATATATCTCTCTTTGATACTGCCATCGGCGATTCTGTCGGGGTTCCTAGACGCGCGCGTGCCGCTCAATGACTATAGCCGATTTTTTCCGCTTACAACGAGTCTCGAGATCGATTTCGTGGTGACGGCGAGCGTATATGGACATACACTGAATACACGCATACACACACACCGAAGGGTCGAAGGGCCCGGCATGCGTTTGCTCGCGCGCCGACAACGGGCGTCCGTGCAGATAACGGCTGCCGCTACTATTTAGTATTTACGGCAGGAAGAAGAAAGGGGGATGCGTGGTTGCGGTGCACCTGCGCCTTGCACGGGGCGGCCAGCTGCTTGGTTCCTGTTTCTCGTTTTGCCGCTTGGCAGCTGCTTCTCCTCCTCTTTCCCTTCCTCTTACCTCGCCCGCACAACGGACCTCTGGGCCACACGTATGTGCCCCTCAGGCCTGCTGTGCTCCCCCAATTCCCCTCTTAAATACTTCCCGCCCCTTGCGCTTCGGCTCTCCACCGTCACAAGAAGTTAAACGTAACATAAAAATATAAGAAAATTCAAAGAACGAGAACTACAATAAAAATTATTGGGCAGACTAATCATATTATAAGTTAACGAAGTAAAATTTAATTTGCATGGAATTATTACATAATTCGCAATGATTTAATATTATATTGTTAGATTTTTAGAGGACTGCCCTTAAATAAGAGTAACAATTTTGATGAAATACATATTTGCCAATTCAGTTATTAAAAAATGTTAATATAAAAAAATAATAACGAAATGTATGTGTGTATATATATTAATGTAATGTGAAAGACAAAAAATAACTTGTAAATTTAATGATTTTTAAAAATTGTTCTGATCCGCGTAAGATTATTCTAATGTTCTGCGCGCTTTTATAAATTCGATCTTGATCCCACATACGAATCTTGATCGGCGAACCTTAGTGTCTGTGGTATTTGACACACGCTGGCGACCGCAGCCACACGAGTCGACAGCTGTTGGCCCTACTCTCACGCATTCCATAAATGCGTGTGTATTATACATGTACACGTACACACACCATATTATTAAGGACTACCTTGTAAAAGTCGGTGGATTAAAAAGAATCGGTAGGAATTTATTTTGTGGAACGAAAAGATGTTTGCGAAATCGGAGATTAATAATGATTTTACATACGTGTTCGAATTTAATTATTTACATAAAAAAAATTCTATCACTATTTTTTAATCATACCATGCCTTTAAAAAAATACCAGTCTCCGAAAAAAGATATTAATAGTAATATTATGAATGAACATTCGTTTTTTATGCAAAATATAAATTTATCTTTTTCAGTTAAGCACGGTGCAGATAGAGCTGAAGTCCTTGAAATGTGAACCTACCAGTCAGGATTCACAGAAGTCGGAACATCACGACAAAGCCGATCTCTTCCGCAACGAGGTGAGCAGATTGCACGAAATTACGTCGGCCCGAAGACACAGCTATTTCCGCGCCTTGGCTCATCGCGCTCGCTTCGAGGAACGTATACGAAACGTCGAACGCAAGATTTCCATCGTGGCACGGAAGCGAGCGATGATCGAGAAGCGGGTTGTGTACGAGGATCCCGAACGTCTTGAAGAACGAGTGAAGAGTCTCGAATTGTCGCAGGCGGACCTTTCGAAGAAGGTGTTCAACGCCAGCCAAGATCTCGTATCGATGAATAAGCTGGACGAGTCGGTAGTGCGACTGTTCGATTCGGTGCGACAACTCGAGGAAGCTGTCTACAACAATCGCTCCGAGGTGAAACGAGAGCTGGCGAGATTGGGGATAAATGCCGCACGAAAGGCGGCCGAGCTGTCGCTGACCAGGGAAGAGCTTGGTAATCTTCGACGAGCGGTTCAGGCGTTGAGCGTGAGCGCGTCGCAACTGCAAGATAGGAGCGACGTCCAACGGAAGAGTCTGGACACTCTGAATGAGACTCTCAGCCGACTGGATCTCTCTCGCAATTTGGCCAAGGCTGCAAACGTCACGCACGAGTTGGAACAGGTGGAGGATCAGTATCGTCTCATGGTAGATTCTCTCCCAGGCAACTGCGAAGAGCGCGATGGTTTAACTCTGTTAGCCCCTGGTCCCGGAGCACCTTTACTAGCCTCCTGTCGCGCTGGTTGGATCGTCGTTGCTCGTAGAATCGACGGCGCGGTTGACTTCGATCGCACCTGGAATGAGTACTCAGTTGGTTTCGGTTCACCAGTCAGCGAGTTCTGGCTAGGTAACGAGGCATTGCATCGACTCACCCGTGACAATTGTAGCAGATTACAAGTTAATCTAATCGACACCTACGGCGTACATTGGCGCGCCGAGTATGAGCATTTTACGGTCGATTCCGAGGAAACCGGTTATCGGCTCCACGTGTCCGGTTACTCGGGCAATGCGACCGATGCGTTGTCTTATCAGGATGGCATGGCATTCAGCGCTAAGGACCGCGATATGGATATTAGTACCACCGACTGTGCAGCTAACTATCGGGGTGGATGGTGGTTCAGTCACTGCCAACACGCCAATCTCAATGGCAGGTATTCTTTGGGCCTGACGTGGTTCCAATCGACCACTAATGAATGGATGGCAGTCGCATCTTCCGAGATGTCGGTGCAACGAAAGCACAATTGTTGATGATCCTAAGAAACGAGTGAAATTATTCCTATTGAATCGATAAAATTAAATACGATAAAGAAACTAAAAAAATTTAAGGATATTTTGTGCGATTTGAGTCATGCATCTTGCAGTCAGTCGATGAAAGAACATTGATTGTAATACCAAAGAATTAAGTATAATTTAAAGACTTTGATGTAAATACAGTGTACAGTTATGCACAACAGAGTAAATGCTGTGCGAAGAAACATTACATACACACACACACACACGCATATATATATATATATATATATATATATAGTAAGAAGCCAATAAAAGCCATTAATTTTTGCTTCTAAATAAGTCATATATTAAGTAAAAATTTAGATAAAAATTATGTAATAAAAAAGCAACATTCACATATTGTTAATTAACTGTCACATATTTCAATATTTAAAATAAAATGTTTATAGCTATTATATATAAAATATGTACTGCCATATTTGATATTAATTCCAATGCTATTATTTTACATATTTTACCTGTCTGACGTTACGCCATTGAAGAGGAACGTCAGCTGTTGGAGGCGGAACCTTTTTAAGTCTAATAATAAGCTATTATATCCCTTCATTTTTGCGTTTTTATACGCAGAATTCGGGCTTTATATTCGCGTACAGACGTATTATTATGTGCCGAATACATACTACTTGAAGTAATAGCTCATTGTGCAACCAAGAGTTTTTTTAGCATTACATAAGAAAGAGATTGTATTAGATTAAAAATTGTATAATTTTAAATTCGTTTTATAATACTTTTATATGTTAATTTTAGATATATCTTATACATCAATTTTGTACATCAAATTTTTTTTATTTTATATTGCTTATAAAACTAAAGAATTATATCAATAGAATATTACAATGTTAATATTGTTTTGAGGGCGTCTCTTTAGGAATCGTGTCGCGATTTGCATTTCTTCTCGTGCACAAATAAGCTGCCAGAGTTGCCATAAGCGGTACCACACAATTTGCAGACATAAGGCTTTTCTCCAGTGTGCGTGAAGATGTGGTCTTTCAGGTACTTGTACCGGATAAAGGACTTGCCGCAAGTGTCGCAATGATAATTTGCATCGCCAGTGTGAGTTTGTACATGATACTTCAGCCCGTTCGAGGACGCGAAGGCGGTGCTGCAGAATTGACAGATGAAACGCTTGTCACCAGTATGGATCATCTCGTGCCTCTTCTTATAACTCGGAATAGCGAAGCTTTTGCCACAGTATTGACAAGCGTATGGCTTGAGGCCGTCTGCTGAATGCGACTTAAGGTGTAACTGTAATCCGGTCATCGAGGCGAAGGTTTTACTGCAGATATGACAGAGATACCGCTTCTCGCTGTCACCTGACAGTTTATCACAACGACCATTTGTATCGGGTGTAACACGTTCATTCAAAGATGTTTCCTGGATCTTAGAATCAAGATCGCTTCTATCGTCAGACTCTGACTTTGCTGTCTCTACATCAAGTCTATTCTGGGATGATGCAGTGTTATATGTTTCTGAGCTTGTAATAATTTTTGAACGTGCTCTTAAACATTTTCTTTTGGATCTTGATCTGTCTGTGAGTTTATGCTCTCTCCTTTTTAGCTTCTGTCCTTTTTCTTTCAGTGATGTTACTTCTCGCTTCTCGCTGTCACCTGGCAGTTCATCACAACGAGCATTTGTATCAGGTGTAACACGTTCATTCAAAGATGTTTCCTGAATCTTATAGTCATCACTCCTATCATCAGACTCTAACTTTGCTGTGTCTACATCAAGTATATTTTGGAATGATGCAGTGTTATATATTTCTGAGCTTGTAACAATTTCTGAATGTGCTCTTAAAGATTTTCTTCTGGATCTTAAAGATCTGCCTGTGAATTTATGCTCTCTCCCTTTTGACTTCTGTCCTTTTTCTTTCAGTGATGTTACCTCCAGGATCTGAATTTAAACATTAAATATAATTATTTAAATATAATTAATTATAAATTCAATTATATTTATAGTATTATATAAAATGTATATAATTATAAAAACAGGTATATGTATAAAATATATATATATTATATATAGTGTATATATAGAATATTATATATATTATACTATTTTCTTTTTACCTGGCAATGTTTATTCTTTTCATTATATTCATGTAATTTATTGTTGGAATTTTTACAAAGATTTATAAATTCATAAGCGTCGTGCAACCTGACTTTGCATTTCCAGCATATGACCTTAGGTAAATCATCATATTGTAATATCTGGTAAAGAATGATTTTATTGTATAATAATTTTATTTTTAATTTTATTCAAAGATCATGCAACATAATTAATTACTTACGACGATGGAACACAAATCCGTGATTTGTAACCTTAATTTTCGGCATTCGTCGTCGTTGACGTTGTCGCAGAACAAGGGAGTTATATCGCGTTCTAGTTGAAGACATAATCTACATATCATTTGCATATTGTCTCGTTCAAAAATTTTCAGCTAATACAAAAGGTATTTTTCCGTTTTGTCGAATATTGATATAACTATCTCTCGACATGACTTCCTTCAGTCTCGCATCAATTGTCAAACTTTAACATTTAGGTTAGATTAAATTCTTCGAAGAAATTCCAACGAAACAATTGTCATTTGACACATATAAGCCTTTATATTAAGCAAGAATAAAATATTTAAAACTATTACGCTTCGTTAAAGAAAATATAATGCTATTGAATGCAATGTGACATTTTAAAATTGGAGGTTAGGAAATCAGCTGATTGAATATCATAATAAACATATATTTTTTAAATTAATAACGAGATCATCTGCATACTAAAGATTAAGCATTTAGGATTAAAAAATTAATATGTTGATTATGTTAATTAAAATAGATTTTTTAATAATATATATGTTGTCATGATATTTATAATCTAATTTTTTTATATTTTTATATAAATTAATATTTTTATATTAATAGCATAAATGTGCAGAACGAATATGTTATTCTATTTTTCTTTTGTTTATTTTTTGTTTATAAAGCTGTGTAAAGGAGAATTCTAATTGTAAATAAAAAAAAACTAATTTATAATAGAGCAATTGTAGAAAATAGAAAATGATTATTAATAATATATTAATTATTGCTTATATGAGTTAAACATTTGATCTTTATAATTCATTATTAGGCATATTAAGCTTTATATTTTAATCATTATCGATTTTTTCTATTTACTAAAATTCCTCTATTCCAAATTAGTTTTTTTTTCATTAACAGTTAGAATTTCCTTTACACAGCTTTATAAACAAAAGATAAACAAAAGAAAAACAGAATATATATATATATATATTATTAATAATATATTATTTATTGCTTATATAAAAATGTTAAACAAATTTATAGAAAAATAAGTTACTAATAACTACAAATAGTTCTTTTGACGTATAAGTTTTATAATATTATTAATATAAGTAATAAGTGTATTACAGCACTTATATGTGTTTCAATATATTTACTTATTTACTAATACTTATATAATTATTAATAAAATATACTTAAAATATAAATATACTCTATGTTCAATACATATAAAAGAAATAAGATGTTTACTTAACATAAATATATTCTTTTGTATCAAATGTATGTAAAAAAGATGAATAGTTTCTACAATAACAATTGTCCATGTTTTTTGTTTCAGAACACGCCGATACCTAAAAATATCGACAAATCCGTACAAATCAGTACAGATCAAATGTGATGTGATCTTAAAATTCTGATAGTATACCTGTTTCCATGGGTGTTTCTACTGGAAGATCTGACAATTTTAAAATGTGTGTTAGTATGATCCTATTATATGCATGATTTATTTCATGCACAGTATCTTCTAAAATTTCCGTAAAAGATTTTTCATCATTTATTATTGATTTATCAGCCATTAAAGATAGATGTAAGTTATCTCCATAACTTAATAGAGAAAAGCCAAGAGCAGTTGTACTCCTGAAAATTAATTATAAATCATATATTCGTATATCGTTATAATATACTAATTTTGCTTATTTTTATTTGTTATTATAAAAGAATAGAGAATATATAATACTTGTTTGGCACCCAGAAAGCAATATTGCTCAAGGAATTATTGAGAATACGAACTCTTTGTGGTCCATACATATTGCTGAACACCATCGTGCTACGACTTAAAAAAAGAGCTTTCAAAATTTTCACCGGTAATATCGCAAATATATATTTCATGATCCAAAAATTAAGTAATATGTCCGGATTGTTTTTGAGTTCATTATTTGCTTTCATAATATCCTGAAGACGATTAAAAAATTGAGAATCTTGATTTGGCTCGCTGATCATTAGTCCGTTCGCGTTGGAAATACAAATCCGCAGGAGAGCAATCGAAAAATTGTTATCCAATGTCATATTTTCATTAACCATTGTCATTCTTATTGGTAAAATAGCTGTTAATGAATCAGGTACTGGTTTATTGATCTGCAAAAAGAAACAAAAAAAAACATTTTACATGTTTGTATAATAAAGAAGTAAATACAATCTAATTATACAAAAATCAATTTTGTTCTTAATTTTTTCAGTATAATTTTAGGCGTATATATTTCAAATATTTTCTGAATTCTTGTATTATTTAGAAACATTTTAACATATATACTTACCCGTAAATGATACTTGTGTACACTAGCAGAGAAAGCAGCTAATATTATATCTCCAAATTTAGCGCCTGTACTTTTTCTTATTTTACGAACTTTCATTAAGAGCTTCTGTGATTTGTCGACATCATTCTCTAACCAGTAGGATACTATCTTTTCACCCGTCTGTGGTGGACCATGTAGAGAGCTATAAAAACATATATTTATTATGATAAAATTTATTCTTCAAAATTTATTTTACGCAAGACAGAATTAGACAGAATGAATTACAAATTTGATATTTGATGGAATTTTTTGATTGAGAAATTCTATTTCATGAATTTACCTTGAATTCAAAATCCGAACTATTTATTTTAATTTATTTTTTTTTATAGATTGTAGGATATTTGAATATATACGTACTTTTCGTCCATACTACGAACCGCCTGTTGAGCCAAGTATTTTGGAGCAGAAAGGATGATAGTCATCAATTGTGCAATTTGTTTAATATTTTCGTACACCTGTTTCAGGAATATATCTTTGAAATTTAGCCACATATGATTGATCGATATTTTCGCTTGCTGTTTTATAAAATCGATCGTTATGCTCTTAGAACATTTCAATAACACATGAAAATGATCTTGTAAATCTTTTAAAATTCGAGGCAGTCTCATATAAGTAAAAGGCATAGATGCAGCGAGAATATTCTTCTCATAGGATTGTACAATTTCCTGATTCTTCATCTCATTCGAGAGATTTTTTTCCGAATTATGCAATGATGAAAAATACTCTTTGCAATTCGTTTCATTTGCATTAATTGAAACGATATTCTTAGTTTTTGATACTTTTGTCTCGTTTTTGTCGGCGATCGCTTCAAGCAACAATCCCAGAAGAGCTATCCCATCCCCCAAGGAATGATGGACGCGAAATATTATAGGAATCTTGCAAGCATCGGTATCGAAGCACTCTTCGGGAGACAAACGGCCTTCTTCGACGCGAGATCTGGATCTTGGACAACGTTTCCCGATGAGGATCTCCCAGGCAGCTGTGTGATCATCGGGCAATGGTTTATTGCATATGTTTCCTAAATTCTTCCTAAAGGATTCACTGGATACATCCTCGCAGGAGCTATCGCAATCAGCATTCTTGCACTCCAGCCATCCGATCCTATTTTTCAGATCGATGTCTTCGTTTCGCTCCCAAAAATAGTAACCGTACTTTTGGCTTCGACGATACAATAATTTTTCAAACGTCGTACCAGCAGCCTTTGAAACAATGCGATCATTCACCAAGTTCTTGAAGTTTTCCAGAAAAATCGCATTTGAATCTCGCGCGGATTTCTCTAGTATCATTAAGATATTGATAACGGACAAGGAAACAGCATCTTCAATGGCCCATACACAATCCGTGCCTTTCAAGAAACCGGCGAACTTGCCCTTGAACTGGATTCTTAAAATGATTTCGACCAAACAACGATAGATATATAAAAAATTCAAAGTAATAAAGATGAATGGAGTAAGCAGACAAACACAGGCAATCCTCAGTAATTCCTGCAATCTCTGATGTCTGAGTCCATTTAAAAGAACTGAACTTGATCTTTCAAATTGCATTCTGTTTATGACTTTAAATCATCGCAACTTCAAATCTATTTAAATTTTAATTAACTTAATCTCACTGATTAATATAAAATGAAGATTTAAAGTATCTCCAATTTGATCTCTTAAAATATGTAAGAGTTCACGTTGAATCTGAAAAAAAAATATATTTTTAAAGATATATTTAAAAAATAATATAATTCAAATTTCGCTCTATTAGCTTAATTTAATTACCTACAATTTACAGGAAGAACTTTCTGTTAAAAGTACTACTGAGACTGATAAAAACAGTGTGTTTTTCATATAGGGAAGCCACAAATCTTTCGCCTATTTTCATAATCAGATTGTAACTAAATCCCTTAATTGTCTTATATCTTGACATACATAATTGTGATGTAATCTTTACCTAAGTTAAACATTATTATATTTCTTTTATATATATTGATAATGTGCATTCATTTAACATTTAAATATTTTTTTCAAATAATTATATAATTTAATTTACAAAAAATAATTTTTAATTTTTTCAGATTTGCGATAATTTGAATTTTAAGCAACAAAGTCACAAACAAATATAATGCATATTTTAACTTAGGTTTCATTTATTAGAATCCAGCATTTTCTGCAGATTTTTTCAGTACTTTCATCAGAATTTACAATGTTTCCTGCGAGGTTAAGCAATTTCTGTTGCAAAGTATTGATCTATAATGCACGTATACATTTTTTTAAAGGATTTGTTAAAACATTTTATAATGTTACATATATACGCAAGTTACAAATTAAATTATGAAATGCAAACTCATTTGGCATACTACATATTCGCAATTATATTTGCAATGACAAATAAAGAAACTTAAACGCACAAACCTCTTTCTGCTTTTCTTTCATTTTGTAATTCAACGCATTAATTTGTTTCTTCAAATGTTCATTTTGTGACAATAAAGCATCATATCTAAAATGTATATATAAGTTTTAATGTCAAAATTCAACTACAATTTAAATTGAAATATTATTGAAGATTACTTTTGATGCCACGTTCTCTGCACTTGTCTTTTTAAAGCTTCGGGCAATATATCAACAGAACCAAGTTGAACATCCGTAACACTTTGTCGAAATAAATCTAAAAAGTGAAATCTCTTTTTCAAACAGAATAAAGCAAAGTAAATAAAATGAGACACAAGTTTTACTTACTTAACATCTGTTCATTTTGTATTTTAGCTTTCTTTAAATCATCTGTTAAAATTTTATCTCGAGATTTCAAGGTAGAATATCGTAGAAAACGGATAGCTTCTAAATTTCGTGAATATTTCAAACTTGTCTCTAATTTTCGAGTAGTATCACGTATTTTATTGATTGTCGCGATATATTTTTCTTCAGGACTTTCTACATGCATGATGTTTAATATTTGTCAACTTGATTGACAGCAGAAAAAATAGAAAGATTCGTTCTTGTTAGCGATATTGTTTTATTAATCTTCTATATTTTATATAATTGTGAAAAATAGTCTTAAGTAATTCAAAGCTCTTATTTCATTGACTGCATTGTGTTGTATATAATTTTATGATCTAATCCCTACAATCTTATAAATTTACTCTTTCTATATTTAAATATTTATATTTCTAATCTATTATACATAAATTAGAATCCTTGGGTATTAAATGCATTTTTGGACAGTAAGTACTATGTAAGTTGTATATAAATAAAGAATAAAGGTATATCATATATGAAAATAAAAATGTACATCACAGATTTTCGCAGTGAAAATGTAGCAAAACATCTGAACCTCTTACTTTAACATGCTTATATAATGTTATTTCGTTAATGAACATGGTTCTGAAATATATTGCTTAAAACTTTGATGTACATTTCTTAAATAATCTCGCGCTCGATCTCTGGTATCTTCTAATACAGCAAGTAATGCTTCTCTAGTTTTATTTGTTAAGGCCTCATTAAATCGTTCCATAAGTGCCATGTCTATTTGTGGAACACCATCCAGATCTTCGGCAATGTCTCTCACCATTGTAACATCCATAGTTAAAGATTCTAAATCAGAATCTTTTGATTGTCTATTAAATTATTTTTATCAGTATGGAATATTTTAAAACATATTTGTTTTATGTATACATATATTTTTTTAAATTAAATAATATATTTATATAAAATAAGCTTATAAATTGTATAATTTGTAAAAATTTTTCAAATCTTAAACTTTATTAATATTTGAATATATTGATTTTGTATGCAAATGTTTGATAATATTATATTATATTAATACTAAAATAGACTTACGATTTAGTCAACTCCTTAGCAAGAAATTCTGAACAAGTTTTATACAATTCCAAACACTCCAGACTACTTTGAAGATTACGTTGTTGAAGGTATCTTTCAAAAATTTGTCTACCTTTTGGATGAGATAAAGTTCTATTTATATTATCTGTAATTTGATCTAGCTCTTCAACTGTCAAACCAATTGTACATTTTCCAATACAGCCAATTGTTTGAGCTGACAATGATGCCTGCATATTTCATCACGCTATGAAGAATTGTAGACCAATTTATTTTTTATTTTTCTCAACTTGAGATTAAAACATCCTGCAAGTAAGAAATTATTTAGAATCAACTACAAAATCAATTACAATTTTTATGTTTGATTTCTAGTAAAGAATATGATAAAAGAGTGTAAAAAAATCTTAACATATATGTATATATCTTATAAAACCTACATCTTAGATGTATATATATATATATTATTCTCATATTCAATAAAATAATAATCTTTGCGCATAGCGAGTTATTTAACAACAATAGGATTCAAAAACGTATGTTTCCAGCCAATTAGCTGTCAATTTTCAATGCCGCGTGAATTAATTACTAATTCACATGATTCGTCTCAGCACTCTCTGATCAGCTGATCAATTGACATATCTAACTTTACTTACACTTCCTTTACTCAAAGTGCTGTACTTAAAATAAAACAAGTAATATATAAATTGACAGATCGCCAAAAGTCTGGATGAAGGAGAGACCGGCATTTCTCACTGATTTCAGCGCCATATCGTAGTAGTGATCAATGCAGTAACTATTAATACGTTCCTAACGATAAGATAAGAGCGTCTCATGCTCATGAACTCGTCCGGCGGCATGTACGAGATTTTATCTTTTCGTAGCGTTCGCGTATTTCGGAGAGGACAGAATTTTATGATGTTATAAATAAATAAATAAATAAAAAATTAACCTGACCTATTATAGTTATTAAATCTTTTTTTAATAAATGTTTCATTATTATTATCATCTAACAATAAGTCTAAGTCGTTTAATTAATTTTTAGTTTTTTAATAATTAATTTATAATTTATTCTAATCACTTTAATATGAGAAAAATACTATTACGTATACGTTTTATAATGAATTAATATATTTCGGGAGTCGAATTATATATTTTTAATAATATAAAAGTGTTCAAAAATTATATTTGACTTTTAATTTTAATTATTTTAGCAAAGAGTTCCGAAATCTCTTACACACATAATAGGGATTTTGTTCATCCATATAATTCGCAATTAAGTATATATGTTAATTATTAATTTTAATAAAATAAAAAGCACTGAGACACTCATTAATGCTGGTTGGATTGCTATCTTTCTCAGAGATTCATTGATTGGTTGATGCTAGGATGAATAATGTGAAAAGAGACGGAGATTCATCCAAAAACATTATGTTTCTTTCTAATTGTAGTCTCGATTTGCTATAGGATAGTATAGAGAAGGTTCGCTCCAATATACTATAGTAAAAATTAGCTGAATGGTCCAGTACAATTTCTGAAGACTGTCAACAAGTATAGCTTATCTTATTTTAAGTGCGATGTAGCAAGATATTTCTATTATTATATCTACAACTTCATACACATTTTTTAAGACAGCTCATCATGTCGGGGACCAAGGTAAAAATACTTTTAACTGTATTACATTCAATAACAATGGTCAAATAAACGATAAAAGTGTCACATATATTGCTCTCTATTGCTTTCATTTCTTTTATTCAATAATGTTTAAAAATATGATACTACTTTGTTATTATTTCAGAGTGACGATAGTAAAAACGATAATTTAAATAGGCAAGGTTCCTTTAGGAAGCTTGTACCAGGAAGTAGTAATGGGGATTCTCCGTTGAGCATGTCTGTAAAAATGATAGACAGACCGATTGTTTCACAAACTAATAAGCAACATGCTATTTTCTTACAGGAATACAATATTATTTCAGAGTAGTAAGTATAGTAAATATGATAGTATTATATAATAGATGAATATCGAAGAAGTAACATTTGTATATATTTTTTTACAGCAAGATGTTGTGTTCTCAAGATTTAAAGGGAATTTACGTAATACCATCTGCTTTGGATTCTTTTTGTAAGTACTGTGAAATTTATGCATGTCAAGTTACTATGAATGTATTATTCATAATTAAGCATGTACTTTGTATGATAATCCTGGTTTGCAATATTGATACCTTGTAATTAAAACAGTTAGTGCTATTCTATAATTTACAGAAAGACAGAGAAGAAGAATAAACATTCTTAGTTTTTTATTTCTTAGTCCATAAATTAATTTTTTTTAATTAAAATGTTAGTGTGTTGTTGATAGGTATTAAACCTATTTTATAGGTCTTGCTCATCCCGATTACAACTTATATAATGGTTCTGATGTAAATATATCCATATCTCTTGCCTGTTTCATTTTAATGTAGTTAAAATGACTGTTGTAAAAAGTTTTAATACATAATATATATATTATTTATGAACACATCATTTTGTCACAGTATGGTTTGGTGTACAATTTGTTCGACAAGGAATCTACAAAGGCGGAGTCTTCAGGTTCACTATTTCACTGCCTCCAAACTTTCCACTTGGAGATTGTCCTGTAAGAATATAAAGCCACACAATTAATTATATATATATATTATAATCTATAACCCTGTAATGTTTTCATACCTGAAATATGTATTTTAGAAAGTTGTGTTCGAAACTCAGGTTTTCCATCCATTAATAAATCCAGAAAACAGAGAATTGTGCACAACGTGGGGATTTCCTGAATGGAGAAGAAATAACAGAATTTGGCAATTAATACAATATATCACAAAAATATTTATTAAATTAGATGCAAAAATGACACCAATTAATCAGGAAGCATCTAGCTTGTAAGTATGATTATTATTATTTACTTTGTAAGAGATGTAAGAGATATATTCAAAGAAATTATGAACAGAATGTATTATAAAAATTTTTTTTACATATAAATTAATTCACAATGTTACAGACAAGAAAGTAATCTTGAAGCTTTTCGAGAACGTGTGAAAACGTGTGTGAAGGCAAGTGTAAATCAAGTATTTGATCCACCTACTATGGACGATCCACATTATATTACATTTACTCGATATGTAAATGAAGTGCATGATCCTACTAAACGAGAAATTTACGAACCAAAGGTGAATAAATACTTAAAAGTCATCATGATAAAACATTAAATTCAATAATTCTCTCATTGGTTTATTGTACTTTATAGAGCGAAGATGAGCATAAGCCATTAGGCTTATCATGGGTACAACCTGGTTCTCTTCAACCATTTTCAAAATCAGAAGCTAGATAATAAAGGAATTTAAAATTCAACTGACAAATAGTGAAACAACGTACGTCCTTAAGAGCTATAAGGAAATTATTGCTCTCTTGGCAATCAATATAGATATAAACTTAATAATATTAATATATTACTATTTTTCTATTCAGAGATTATATATATGCCTTAAAATTTTATATGAATCTATGTGTTAAATGACTGCTGTGTAGAACAAATTAGGGTATATAGGTTTGTAGGTTTTAATAAAAAGAGATTATATTATAATCACACAAAATACATTTGTGTTCAGTATAAATATATTAAGAGCTGAAGTATTTAATATTGATGATAAACGTATATGTGTTTTTTTTTTGTATAAATATAATGCACATTTTCATTTGTATTAATATAAGAAAAATTTAGAGAAAAAAACGAAAGAGCGAAATCTAATAGAATTTAGACTTTTCAAATTGAGCGCCATAATTTGTGAGTATACGTCATTCTCCCCTCCCATTTCCTTTTACGTCATAGGAATCCGGCTTTATGTCGCTAACAAATCTTGCTCGAAATCGCGAGAAAAAAATAACGTATGTATATCTCGCGATAAAGATACGTGGAATTTGCGTTACTGCGCAACAATTTCGCAACCTCGTGGCCATCAAATAGGACTCGTACAGATCGTATTTTACTACCGGCACACGCCCGAAGCCGCTTCCGCTGCGCCACCCGGGATTATGATCTGCGACGATCTTAACCTTTAATGACAGCTCCGAAGATTCAGGTAACCATTTCATTACATTTCACGCGCGATAAGCAAAAACATCTCCCGCGCGTTGATTTTTGCTTCGCAAATTCACATTTACGATAACATCTTAAAAATTCCTCGATCTCCTATACCTAAAGTATCTCCTGCAACGTGTGCCTTTTCGTGCTGCAGGTACACACCTATATTTAAGATTTTAAAGATGAAATACGACGAAAAAAAAAACAATCTCCAATTAATGATATTGCGATGATTTTATCGTATTAAGTAATATTTTCTGACAATATTTCTCTTCTTTTTATCAAATTGTGATTGTAGACATAATACTATGGTTGATAAAATAATTTTGGAATATTGTAAAGCATATAGAGACTGATTGATTAAAAAATAAAACATTGTAAATTTGAGTTTAAATAGAGTATGAGATTTGTTTTATTTATATATAAAGGCTTAGACTAGTTACATTAGTTTTTAATTATGTATGTATATAATTGTTTAGGTTGCAACATAAGCAAAAAATGCAGACGATAAAGTGTGTTGTGGTGGGTGATGGAGCGGTTGGTAAAACATGCCTCTTGATTTCTTACACCACAAATAAGTTTCCTTCCGAATATGTGCCTACTGTTTTTGACAATTATGCGGTAACTGTGATGATAGGAGGTGATCCATATACATTAGGATTATTTGATACAGCTGGTAAGAAGTTTGCTCCTTTTTAGATTATATCGTTAAAGATGATTTAGTGTGCTTGAGAACTAATTCAAACTTTTTGGTTTTTTTTATTAGGTCAAGAAGATTATGACAGATTGCGTCCTTTAAGTTATCCTCAGACAGATGTATTTCTTGTGTGTTTTTCAGTTGTATCGCCATCATCGTTTGAAAATGTAAAAGAAAAGGTGATATATCATCTATTATTGTCTATTTTATTTCTACATATATAAGCTTTAATTTAAATTCTAATGTAATAATATATTTTCTTACAGTGGGTGCCTGAAATAACGCATCATTGCCAGAGAACCCCATTTCTACTTGTTGGAACACAAATCGATTTGAGAGATGATGTTGCAACAACAGAGAAGCTTGCAAAAAATAAGCAGAAGCCAATATCTGGTGAACAAGGCGAAAAACTCGCCAAGGAACTCAAAGCTGTAAAATATGTAGAGTGCAGTGCTCTAACACAGGTAAGAAAAAATTTATTTATATTTATATTTTATGATATAATAATTTTGTCAGAAATATTTTATTATTAAAAGAAATTATTTAGAAATTGTGAAATTTAGTAAGATCTTTTTTTCAAACTTAAAAAATATGATTTTTTATAAATATTTAATTTTGCTGTAACTAAAATAAAAAAATATATTCTAAATTATATCAGTAATATTTAACATTTTATGTAACATTATGCTTTTATTTTGACAATTTAGAAAGGTTTGAAGAATGTATTCGATGAAGCTATTTTAGCCGCATTGGAACCTCCCGAACCTGTAAAGAAAAGAAAGTGTACGCTTCTGTAAGTCGACAAGGAGGATTTATCATTGAAGGAACGCATGTCGGATATCAAAATAACGCTACGTAGTACCAGACGATAGTCTTGTATGTAGTACTGTATCGAATAGAATTAAATTTGCCTCTATACTTCGTAACCGGAGGGAAGAACAAGTAATCGCGCAGACGCCGACTAGGACAGCGATTGCAAACACATTCCATGAGGCGTGCAACACGATTCTGAATTTGTAAGGTCAGAGAAAAGTTTTCTATCAAACAATATGGCTATCTTTTTGAGATAACTTATTGCACAAAGCTTTCATTTTTCCGACGCGATTTTCTAGACGACGCGAAATTTTGAAGCGCGTCTGAGGATTTTCAGACGAAAGTTTCGAAATTGTTTTAAAATCGTTAACTTTTGATGTTTATATTGAATAGGACAAAGGTGGAGAAACATAGAGAGATTGGTGCTATTATTCAATATTTTTTTAAGTCGAAATGTTTACTGAGATATATATAAGTATCTGAGTCGTCGGTATCTGATAGAGTACTCATTTGAATTAATAAGGTATTCAAACATTCATTTAATTAAAATGACTATTGTTTCAATACCTATTAGAGTAAAATTTTCGTTTTCGACGATATCAGTATTAGAAATTTTATGGTGAATGTATAAAACGATAAATATAGCAGTATCATGTAGGTATATTATCGATTGCATATAATAAGAAGATTATTATTACTATTTCTAACAATCGGTCTACACATAAAATATCATTATTGAAATATTAAAGGTTTTTACTGCCTTTGGAAAATTTGTTTGGATATGACATAATTTTTGGAAATTGTCATATATAGTAAGTATATAATTAATTTCTTATCATTTATTTTTTGTCCGAAGCATGAAGCGTGCGAGCAAAAGCTTTTTAATATCGATAATGAATCTTCAGATCTTTTAAAATATACACGGCAGCTACCTTAACGAAGGAAAGCTTTTAAGAAAATTGACCAATTTCTTCGAGCGTTTTTGAGTGCCCTTTATTACATAGCAAAGTATTTTCAACGAATTTATCACTTAACACAAAGAGAATAGAGTTTTTAAATCTTTTTCTTAAACATTTATGATTCTTACAATTATATGCAATTTTTTCAACTATCACGATGTGGCATGCAATGAATTATATCAATTTACAATCTCAAAAGCATGCGACTGGCTAATTTTTTATGGAGCTCAATTGTCGCATATCGTTAGTATTAATAGCGCATATAAATATTCGCATTGCGATACGTTGTCGATTTATAAACATCGAATGGGGATGTTAGGAGAGAAAGCATTTCATCAAAAAGATTTAATCAACTTTTACACTACGAATCCAGTTAAAAAGCATTTATTATTAGCACTGTATGTGTCATAATATAGACACAGTCATATATAATGAAATATTCGCATAAATATATTTATACTATGTATATGATGCTCGCACATTTAAACCTTTATTTGTTAAATCATCGATAATCCTTTTGTATAATATCCTTGATTGTCCTTTCTAACATTTTAATGTCACAATCTCAATAAATGAGAAAAATATTTCTTTTAGATTATCTTGAACATTGATATTATGAGATATATGATTTACTTATAAGTAGGATTAATAATTTAATAGATTATTCACACACATATTTAGCAGTAAAATAATAATGAAATTAAATAACAGGATATATCCAGGATATATCATATAAATGATAAAATTAAAATAGCATTATGAACAGGAATTGTGCGACAAATCCCGCATTTTTGATAATTATGCATTAAATATACATTCTATACATATTTTTTGACGAACACAATTTATAATTATGTTATAAATGTATAATTATGTTCTATTTAAAAATATTAGAGGCTTTACTTTGACTATAAAACTGAACGTCTGATATTACATCTTAAATTTATGAAATCTTTAAATTATAATTGCATATTTATATCATACGAAATATTTAATTTTGATGATATAAAATTGAGTAACCGATTATTTTAAATTTATTAATTATTTCAATTTATTTATTGAAAAAGATGTTTTTTCATTAATTGAATTTAATTATATTAGAATATATTAATCCGAAATTGAATCACACTATAATATAAATTTAAGTACACAGTAATAATTTAGACGACAGTTCAAGTACAAAAGTTATAGCCTATAATTGTTTTTGAATTTGGCGCGCGGCGCGCTAGTGTTGACTCACGTAGTTACAACGTCACGACCGTCGTCCCTCGCGCTAGTCTCGAGTTCGCGCTCAATCGGCTCCGCATTTTTCGCGCGTTTTTTCCTGTTAAGAATGAATTCCGCGTACGAACGAATATCGGAGCATCGAATCGTGCCACGGGCAATTATCAGGAAGTATTTCTTCAATCATTGAACATTCTGTTTATTAAGAGGTATGTATCATTTCGCGTCATTTATCTATACGAATCACATCGCGTTCAAGTTTTTGCGTTTTGGGAAAATTTTCGGAGGTTAGATATTTAATTAGTAAATAAATCATGGTCTTCAGGTGTCGTGTGTGAACCGCGCGAAGTTTGCACCGCGCGATTTGTTGTATACGTCACAGCGTACTAACTTCATTACACATCGCGAATGTCGAGAGTGGCACACAGTTATTTATCGTCGTTATTTATCTGTTATTATTTATGTAATTGGGCGCGTAGTGCGTGCAATCGGTGTCGAAAATGTCGTACAAAGTAACGCGCGATTGTTCTATCGTATTATTTATGCGCGAATCGAAATCAGTAGTGCTGGTCAATGAAAATGCATCCCGGCGAACGACTTTCCAAAACGATGCAACAATCAACGAGAATATGGCGACGTTTCAACAACCGGTGAGTAATTTGATTCTAATATTTATCTGATTATCATCGACTGAAATGCATAGCCAGCCTATGAAAACAGCTAATATAATAATAATATAATATTTTTTAGGAAAGAGTGACGCGCAACAATCGACGAGAATATGGTAATGTTTCAACGACCGGTGAGCAAAGTGATTATATTTAATTTATTATATTATCACATTTATATATCATCGCCATTTACTTGTACGATATATAACCAGGATATGAAAATCGCTAATATAATATAATATTTAGGACAAATCGACTTTTGAGATTAACTTAGAAATAAATTTAAATATATAGTCATTATATAAAAAAATGCTAATGTAATAATAATATTGTTTTAAATCTGTTTTCGAGATTAGCTCAGAAAGATATTTGAATTATGCATTATATATATTTTCAATAAGCATTCGCGTATTAATAATTTCATAAATATTTTAATATTATTTTTTTTTATTTGAAAGACTATATTTGATGTACTTTGAGCAAACTAAAATTCGAATTTATCTTTCTTATTATTTGCCAAATATATAGCTAGTATAAAAAACGCTAATATGAAAATAATATAAATTTAAATTATGCATTATATTATTTTTGTTAAATATTTATATTAAAAATCTCTCATGAATATTTTAAAGCATTTTTTTATTTAAAAGACTATATTTTATGTACCTTGAGCAAAATAAAACACAATTTTTTTTATCAATTATAAAATATGTAGCCAGTATATAAAAAACGCTAATGTAATAATAATAAAATATTGTTTTAAAAAATCGGTTTTTGAGATTAGCTTAAAAAGATATTTAAATTATGCATTATATGTATATATTTTCAATAAGCAGTCGTGTTAATAATCTCATGAATATTTTAATTTTTTTTATTTGAAAGATTATATTTTATGTATTTGAAGACAAGTAAAACTTGATTTATCTTTCTTATCATTCGCGAAATACATAGTACAAAAAAAATTCTAATACAATAATAATATAAATTTAAATTATGCATTATATATATTTTCGATAAGAATTTATATTAAGAGTTTCTCTCATGAATATTTAAAAATTTTATTTATTTGAAAAATTATATTTTATGTACTTCGAGACAACTAAAACACGAATTTATCTTTCTTATCATTTGCTAAATATATATAGCCAGTATAAGAAAAGCTAATACGAAAATAATATAAATTTAAATTATGCATTATATGTGTATTTTCAATAAGCATTCATATTAAGAATCTCATGAATCTCTCATATTTTAAAGTTTGATTTTTATTAGGAAGACTTTATTTTATGTACTTTGAGCAAAATAAAACTCGAATCTATTTTTCTTATCATTTGAATGTCAGACATGGAATCGATCGCAATCAATCTGCGTGATATTTTTTGCCACACGCGCGTTTCCTCATCTTGGTTGGCGCCTAGCCGAAGGTAATGACAACCGCGCAAGATACAGGGAGTACTCGAGAGTATTCTCGGACTAAGAACCGGAGCTATGAGAATCCCCTCGTCGAACCGGCACGTGCGAGCGGAAATGCAGGGGCCGTAGAGACGCAGAAACACGGGAGGCGGTCATTTGACGGTCTGATGGGATATCGCCGACGTGGATCGCCCACCGTCATCCACACAGCCGTTTCTCCGTGCTCTCCACATCCAATTCTCCTCATCCTTCTCATCTCTTCCTCTCATTCAGTGGCGGCTTCAATAAATGCGAAGTCTTACGATACGAGAATTTAATCATAAAAATTGTACGAAATTTAATTATTCAATGGCAAAGTTCAGTAGTCACATTTAGAGCATTTGATTTTTGAGTTATAATTATTAAATTAAAAATATATATATAAAAGATACATTTATTTAAGATCACAGAGTATACATTCTTTTGTAATTTACTCTTATTCAGATATATAAAATAGATAATCACAAATGCATGTAAAATTTAAAAATAAGAATATATTTACAAGAATTTAATTTTCTCTTTACAATTAAATGTATATTTTTGTAACACGCGTGCATAATTATAAATTTACATCTTATTGTAAAAGCCGCCACTGTCTCCTCTCGGCATCGCGTTCCTCTTCGTCGCTCGCTCGCGCCAAAAAGACCGCTGTTTTCTTCTTTCCTCTTCTTTCACGGTCGATCACGATTCGCCGGTGTAACGTGGCGCGTTGCGCCCTGTGGTTAATTCAATTAGGTGGAATCATAGTTACGCAGATCGGCGGCCGCAGCCAATGTTAACGGCCGATACAGAAGGCGCGCCTCGGTCACGGAGCCATCGCGGACGTGCCTCCGGACTCCCTTGACATTATCGCTAATCATCTCGAATCGATAGCCGCGTCTACGCGAGCGGTGGTATTGGTACAGGTATGCGCCGGACGTGCGTTGTAATGCGGCTAGATGCGCAGTGTAATTTTAGTAATTGATCTATCGAGACGAACGAGCGCGCCTTTGCGCTGAAAATCATGCACAACGCTGACAAAAATTTTCGCGTTAATTAGCGAACCGCGGTAATTAGTCTCAGCATTCCTCTAAACGATTTCGCAACGCAGCATATCGAATTTTTAACTAATTTTTTAAAATAAACTCTAGCCAAGTAAATTTAATATTATACACTATCTTTTAAAATAGAAAACGTGAAGACCTTTTTAAGATAAAATTAGGACTTTTAAAAGAGTCACGATTTTTTATTAAAATTTCTGCATCGTGATCGTTGATGAATTTCGAGATGCTATATGTCTCTTTTTTATTTTTGCGTCAAAGATTCCCTGATTAACATCGTTCGAGTATAGGATCTTGTAATCTCCGAATTCTTCTCGATCCTCGCGCGCGTCCTAGGATCCAAGAGTTATTACACGAAAACAGACGAGTTCTCGTAACGACCTAATAAAACGAGCCGCCGGGGCCACCTGGTGAAGCAAGCCACGTCGAGGGTGCCCCCCAGGCACGTTGACACAACTCATTTTTACGCAATGTCTCTCGCGCGATGGGCGGCCGCGCTCGTCCCGCGTTCTCGCACTGCGCGAGGACCCGCTGTTTATGTTGCTTTATGCTGATGCTGGCCGTACCACCGCTCGCTGGGCTGAGTAATGGCGCGAGATCTGTACCGTAGTCGTCGAGGGGATGCCTCTCAACTCGGCCTGAGTGCGAGAGATACCATCGGATCTACCTCTCGCGTAGATTTCTAGTCGCTCGTCGCAACATCCCGCATACGTGCCATCTCGACGAAATCGTGATGCTCCCTTCCTCAGGACCGCATATCCTGCTGGTACCCCTGAGAAACGAAACGTGTAGGCTGCACACAATGCGCCTGTAAACTCGTTTGCAATATTTAAAGATTATTTAAATATAAAAATGCCTATATTGATTTTACATATTGATTGATTGATTTTTAATGTCTAATTTTATTTGAAATCTGTTCTCATAAATATATAATTCTAATTGAATATATACTTGTATCAAGGTAAGATAATTTCTATTTCCTGATTTGTTAATATGATGAACCTATAATATAATGTACAATATGTAATAATTTGTACATTTCTCTCGTTATTTACTCATATATTTTATGTATATTTATTGATGCAATGTTTATCGGTACAATAAATTCAATTTCAAAGAATGCTTTTTGCATTTAACAATATTATAATCTATTAAATGAATAGCTAACTCTTATTGACTTTTATAAATATATGATCATTTGTTCAGAGAGAGAATTAACTATAATATAATTTAAAAGGTCGGCTTAATAAACATAATTTTAATAATTTAAAAAGTTCGAAATAAGATAACGATTTTTTTGTAATTAATTATTCAAAATAATTTCAAATCAATGCTATTATACAATTGTCAAATGTGATTTAACACAGAGAGAATTTTCTCTTAGAATTTACCTTGCAGATCATTGTAATCGTGGGACAATATGCATTGGAAAAATTTTTTAAGTTTTTCTGATTAATATTTATCACAATAAAAAATATTAATATCTACCACAATAAGATATAAAATATGTTCGATTAATTTTACTATGTACGTTGTTTCTACATTTTTTCTATGTACATAAAATTAATCGAACATATTTTATACCTTATTGTGATAGATATTAATATTTTTTAAGATATTAATAGATATTTATATTTTAAGATATTGATATTTTTTATTGTGGTAACTATTAATAAGAGCTCTTATAAAATTCTCCCAATACTATTGTCTCACCATTATCATGATTTTCAGGGTAAATTCTAAGAGAAAATTCTCTCTGTGTTGATTCACATTTGACATTTGTAAAATAATCATCGATTTGAAATTATTTTGAATAAGTATAAAGAAATCTTTATCTTATTTCAAACTATTTCAATTAATACATATATTATAGTTTTATTTTCTCGATGATAAATTTTCACATATCATCTAATATCAATATAATAACAAGAAATTAGTGCGAGATCTCTCTTTATCTATAATAGATACACAAGTAGTATAGAGAAGAAATGTTTGTACAGTTTGAGCAATTGCATTTTCTGCTGCCAGCATAACGTGATTTATCTTCCATTCTGTTCTTTTATTTCTCTCTGAAGACATTTCGCCTCTGCCGTTCTCGCATTCAAAAGTTTCAGTTTGCCGCCCGTAAATCATGTGAAAATAGAGCAACAAAGTAAAAGTAAACTTTCAGTAAGTCTTAGTTTTCATGCAAAGTTTATGAGATTGTCGCTAAATATTCGCATTTTCCAATTGAATTATTCGCAATTTTCGTAAAATTGAATTTTGTGAAATTGAAATATGATTTCTGATTTCGATATCTGCAATATTAGCAATAATGGTACCAATTTTGCATAGAGATGAAAACAAAATAACTGGATTGTAGAATGTATGTAAATTACTAATACTATACTGGAAGGCAATCATATTGCAAACTATGTGAAAGGTCGTCATTTTCTTGCATACTTTGAGTATTATTTGGAAAAATATTTGTGTGATGCTAAAATTTGAACAAAACATGTTACATAAAATATTTATAATGTTAATAATAACATTATTTTTCTGAAAAATAATTTTGTTATTAACTTTTTAAATCTTTTATGTGAAATTTCTTTTTAGCATCTCGCAAATATTTTTTCAAATAATACTTAAAATATGATATA